CTAGTCCTGAAGGCACAGTTCCCTTATCGCAGTTACTCAAGCAACAGCAATCTCTCTCTCGTCCCGTGGGCCCCTAGTCCTGAAGGCACAGTTCCCTTATCGCAGTTACTCAAGCAACAGCAATCTCTCTCTCGTCCCGTGGGCCCCTAGTCCTGAAGGCACAGTTCCCTTATCGCAGTTACTCAAGCAACAGCAATCTCTCTCTCGTCCCGTGGGCCCCTAGTCCTGAAGGCACAGTTCCCTTATCGCAGTTACTCAAGCAACAGCAATCTCTCTCTCTCTTCCCGTGGGCCCCTAGTCCTGAAGGCACAGTTCCCTTATCGCAGTTTCTCAAGCAACAGCAATCTCTCTCTCGTCCCGTGGGCCCCTAGTCCTGAAGGCACAGTTCCCTTATCGCAGTTACTCAAGCAACAGCAATCTCTCTCTCGTCCCGTGGGCCCCTAGTCCTGAAGGCACAGTTCCCTTATCGCAGTTACTCAAGCAACAGCAATCTCTCTCTCGTCCCGTGGGCCCCTAGTCCTGAAGGCACAGTTCCCTTATCGCAGTTACTCAAGCAACAGCAATCTCTCTCTCGTCCCGTGGGCCCCTAGTCCTGAAGGCACAGTTCCCTTATCGCAGTTACTCAAGCAACAGCAATCTCTCTCTCGTCCCGTGGGCCCCTAGTCCTGAAGGCACAGTTCCCTTATCGCAGTTACTCAAGCAACAGCAATCTCTCTCTCGTCCCGTGGGCCCCTAGTCCTGAAGGCACAGTTCCCTTATCGCAGTTACTCAAGCAACAGCAATCTCTCTCTCGTCCCGTGGGCCCCTAGTCCTGAAGGCACAGTTCCCTTATCGCAGTTACTCAAGCAACAGCAATCTCTCTCTCGTCCCGTGGGCCCCTAGTCCTGAAGGCACAGTTCCCTTATCGCAGTTACTCAAGCAACAGCAATCTCTCTCTCGTCCCGTGGGCCCCTAGTCCTGAAGGCACAGTTCCCTTATCGCAGTTACTCAAGCAACAGCAATCTCTCTCTCGTCCCGTGGGCCCCTAGTCCTGAAGGCACAGTTCCCTTATCGCAGTTACTCAAGCAACAGCAATCTCTCTCTCGTCCCGTGGGCCCCTAGTCCTGAAGGCACAGTTCCCTTATCGCAGTTACTCAAGCAACAGCAATCTCTCTCTCGTCCCGTGGGCCCCTAGTCCTGAAGGCACAGTTCCCTTATCGCAGTTACTCAAGCAACAGCAATCTCTCTCTCGTCCCGTGGGCCCCTAGTCCTGAAGGCACAGTTCCCTTATCGCAGTTTCTCAAGCAACAGCAATCTCTCTCTCGTCCCGTGGGCCCCTAGTCCTGAAGGCACAGTTCCCTTATCGCAGTTACTCAAGCAACAGCAATCTCTCTCTCGTCCCGTGGGCCCCTAGTCCTGAAGGCACAGTTCCCTTATCGCAGTTACTCAAGCAACAGCAATCTCTCTCTCGTCCCGTGGGCCCCTAGTCCTGAAGGCACAGTTCCCTTATCGCAGTTACTCAAGCAACAGCAATCTCTCTCTCGTCCCGTGGGCCCCTAGTCCTGAAGGCACAGTTCCCTTATCGCAGTTACTCAAGCAACAGCAATCTCTCTCTCGTCCCGTGGGCCCCTAGTCCTGAAGGCACAGTTCCCTTATCGCAGTTACTCAAGCAACAGCAATCTCTCTCTCGTCCCGTGGGCCCCTAGTCCTGAAGGCACAGTTCCCTTATCGCAGTTACTCAAGCAACAGCAATCTCTCTCTCTTCCCGTGGGCCCCTAGTCCTGAAGGCACAGTTCCCTTATCGCAGTTACTCAAGCAACAGCAATCTCTCTCTCGTCCCGTGGGCCCCTAGTCCTGAAGGCACAGTTCCCTTATCGCAGTTACTCAAGCAACAGCAATCTCTCTCTCGTCCCGTGGGCCCCTAGTCCTGAAGGCACAGTTCACTCCTTGGACTGCGCGCCTCCGCCTAGGGGTCGTTTTGAGTCGACTCAAAAATAGCCTCATCACACACGGATTTTATGTTGAGAGAATTTTTGTTGCTTGGACGATTGGGTGTAGCTTGTTAAAGCTTTTGGTGCGCGCGCGACTACCGAAGTTGCTGCATGGCGAAAGGTTGGACTCTGCTCCCAATGATGACACCCTCGAGGGTTGAAGACGTGGCTCTTGGTGTTCACCAGAGCTACCTGGATTGGTCCCGAACTTTTTGGAACGGGCCAGGGTGTAGATAACCTTGAGTTTTGTTTTACTGGAGGCGTTATCTTTTCTTTTAAGGCTTCTACTCCACTCTGTTTTTCATTCTCGTAGGCACTGATGAAGGCCTGGTAGGGGATGCCCTCCAGCCGAAACATGTTTGTCTTGTTTTAATTTCTGTTAACGAGAAGAGTTCCGGTTTCACAGACTCTCGGCTATTAGCTAGTGTTAAGAGTTTCACTGTTTTTTCTTACTTGCTTAAGCCTAAACCTAAGCATTGCTGCTCACTGGAAGAATGTCAGAGGATCTGCTAACACTTACGCTTTCTCCAGTAGACGGCGGTGCAGGTGAAGGCAGTTCTGCAATTATTGTGCGTGAGGCAGTTGTACCGGCAAAGACTTGCGCGAATTATCGCAGCCACAAGCGACTACGCGTTCTTGACGGTGCGAAACAATCTGCTCCAACTCACGCAACTACGAAGCAAGACAAGCAAGCGGAATCTCCTCCCGACATGGAAGTTGAGAACGAGCCGATCGCTGCAGCAGCTGGTTGCAGCAATCCTACGGCCTCATCTGAGCAGTCTGTTACGATTCCTGAGCCTTTTAAAGGCTGGACTGCGAAGGCCGTCAAGGAATTTCGGACCGATTTCAAAAACTACCTGAAGGCGAAGTCCAAGCTTAAGAAGATGAAGACTCTCGACGGCCAAGGCGTGATACTCCACAGCATCCGCACCAAGGTGGTCGAGTTTCAGACGAAGTACTCGAGCATTCGGGAGAAGTCGGCGGCTTCTGTGGCTGCTATTCATCTTGAGAACCAGAAACGCATACAAGCGGACTTCATCAAGTCGAAGGAAATGGAGGTTGAGGAGATTCTGGCGGCTTCCGATTCACACCTCACTTCTCTGGCGGCCAGGCTTGAAGACCACATCAAGAGCTTATCGTCCGTACCTGAATTGGCGATTTCCGAAGTCGCTAAAGAAAAGTTCAGGAAGATCAAGGTGCAGTGCATCAAGAAAGCTCGGTCCGAAATCGCCACCGCCAAGGACGACATCAAAGTCCAGGAGTTGCTGAGGCAGAAGTCCCGCGAAGCCGAGGAATTGAAGAAATCTGCTGCCGCTGAGGAGATGACTGGCATGGAAACAGGGCCGACGATCGACGAGATTGTTCGTCAGCAGGTGCAGAAGGCGAAGGCTGAAATCCGCAAGGAAGTTAAGGCGGAGTTCGAAGCTACCCTATCGGCAAAGCTGAAAGCGTTCTCGTTAGTCAAGCAGGATGCATCGACGCCCCCCGCAGCTGCTGATTCGAAGCCGAAGAAGGCGAAGAAGAAGCGTGGCGGCAAGAACAAGAAGAAAGCCAACGCTCCCGCGGACAGCAAGGAGAAGGGCCCTGAGACTACACCGTCGACCTCGAAAAAGGCCTGGGTTCCAAAAAACGGCGGAGGCGGCCCCGCAAAAGGGCCGTCAAAGAAGAAGTAACAGCACATGACCTCGCGCTCCGCTGGTTTGGCCGCTTGACTTTACGGCAGGCGCAGTCTCGCGTGCGGAACCTCGGAGTGCACAACCTGAGTGCCAAGACCTTAACGTCGGACGAGCGTAAGGCACTAGGTTTGGGTTTGAAGTTTGTTCCTACTCCCGCCTGGAATCCTTCTGTCGCTACGGCCCTCGATCAGCTGCATCGACAGATCTCTCTTCATTTTTTCTTCAAGGAGAAAGGGAATCCAACTGCAGCTTCACGGTTTCGGGTGCGCAACCCGAGTTGGAGACCCGATCGGGATGAAGTCCCGGAGTCGGTTTTCAGAGAGGCGCACGAAGACCTCTCGTTCCTGATGAAAGCAGCGAAGCCGTTACGTGGATCGAACCTTTCACGAGGTGTACGTACAGCTTTGCGCTCCCTCGCGACAGACCGCAGCATCGTCATCAAGCCCGCGGATAAGAACCTGGATCTCACCATTATGGATCGGTCACACTACGTCAACCTCTGCATGGAACATCTCTCGGATGACGCGGTGTATAGATCAGTCCAACACGATCCGACACCTAGTGTTCTGCATGGTGCCCTGAGGAGAATTCCACTCCCCTCAAGTCCAGCTCCGTCAGCCAGATGCGGAACTTGGCCATTCCACACTTCTTCTCACCAACTGCTACTCACCAACTGCTACTCACCAACTGCTTCTCACCAATTGCTGCTCACCAACTGCTTCTCACCAACTGGTACTCACCAACTGCTACTCACCAACTGCTTCTCACCAACTGCTTCTCACCAACTGCTTCTCACCAACTGCTTCTCACCAATTGCTTCTCACCAACTGCTACTCACCAACTGCTACTCACCAACTGCTACTCACCAACTGCTTCTCACCAACTGCTTCTCACCAACTGCTTCGCACCAACTGCTTCTCACAAACTGCTTCTCACCAACTGCTACTCACCAACTGCTACTCACCAACTGCTACTCACCAACTGCTTCTCACCAACTGCTTCTCACCAACTGCTTCGCACCAACTGCTTCTCACCAACTGCTTCTCACCAACTGCTTCTCACCAACTGCTTCTCACCAACTGCTTCTCACCAACTGCTTCTCACCAACTGCTTCTCACCAACCGCTTCTCACCAACTGCTTCTCACCACTGTAATGTGCCTCCACGCGCCTTCACACCTTTCCCAACCCTCCAGTGTACCCTGCAAACCAGCCCCAACACCCAATTCCTCTCATCTCACCAGCTGCGGCTCTCCACTGTAGTGAGCCTCCACGCTTCTCCCTGTTTCTCTGCTAGTATGTCACACAGTCCTTCACCTCGTACTTACTCACACCCCGCTCTTCCTCTCAACTCACCAGCTGCGGCTCTCCACTGTAATGAGCCTCGACGCCTATGCCTGTGACTGGCGCCCCAGTTGCGTTGAGATTCCACACCTTCTGCTCTCGGGTACAAAGGGAGGGAGGTAGAGGACAGAGAGGGAAAACGGGGAGAGTTGCTTGAACATCCACGAATACACGCCCTCTCCCACTCACAGCACACGCCCTCTCCCACTCACAGCACACGCCCTCTCCCACTCACAGCACACGCCCTCTCCCACTCACAGCACACGCCCTCTCCCACTCACAGCACACGCCCTCTCCCACTCACAGCACACGCCCTTCCCCATTCACAGAACATGCCCTTCCCCATTCACAGAACACGCCCTTCCCCATTCACAGAACACGCCCTTCCCCACTCATCGCACCACGCCAAATCGCCTCTCACTTCAGCATAAACCTCTGGGTTGGCCCCTCTGTCGCACTGCTCAAACGTGTCATTCAAAAACAAAATTGCCTCTCACCTCGAGGCACACCTCTGGGTTGGCCCCTCAGTCGCACTGCTCCACTCTGTTGTAATGTTTAAAAAAACAGCTCAAGTCCAGCCTCATTCTCTTCCCATTCCACTTGCCCACATCCTCCCTCCCTCTCACCTCGAGGTACACCTCTGGGTTGGCCCCTCGATCGCACTGCTCCGCCGTGTTATAATCAGTAAAAAAAACAGCTGCACGTTGGGATTGAGAGCCACAGTCACAGCAGTCACACCACACAGCCTTTCCCACTCACCGCACTAGATTGCCTCTCACCTCGAGGTACACCTCTGGGTTGGCCCCTCGGTCACACTGCTCCACCGTGTTATAATCATTCAGAAACAGCCGCACATTCGGATCAATCGCCCGCGCGGCCTTGAACATCCACGAGTGAATGTCCTCCCCCAGGCGCTGCCCGTAGTAGTTGCCATGCAGAGGCTCGTTGATGACATCCCAGTGCTGCACCTTGCCTTGATAGCGGGTGACCGCACTGGCCATGCGTCGTTGCATGGCTGCCCATAGAGCAGTGTCGTTTAGATTCTGGGGATTAGGGGAAAACGGATGGAGTAATGGGGAGGAGGAGAGGGAGGGGGAAAGGGGGAGGAGGAAAGGGAGGGAGAATGAGGAAAGGGGAAGGGGGAGAGAGGGCGAGGAGATCAAAAGTCCACGAGTGAATGTCCTCCCCCAACCGCTGTCCGTAGTAGTTGCCATGCAGAGGCTCGTTGATGACATCCCAGTGCTGCACCTTGCCCTGATAGCGGGTCACTGCACTGGTCATGCGCCTTTGCAGCGCCGCCCATAGAGCAGTGTCGTTCAGGTTCTGGGGGAAAGGGAAGGGGCGAAGGGGCAAAGGGAAAAGGGAAGGGGCAAAGGGGCAAAGGGGCAAAGGGGAAAACAAACAGGAAAATTTTGTAGTAGTCCGACCAGCATTGACTCACCTGAACCAGCATCACAGCATCAATTTCCTTGACTAGTGTTGGCTCACCTTGACCAACGTTGACCAACATTGACCAGCGTTTACCCACGTTGACTCACCTTGACCCACGTCTGCACAAATCTCTCCACGGCCCAGAAGATGTTGTGTGCTCGCACGCTCACATTCCTCTGCGTGAACCAGTCTACCAGGTTGACACACCTTGACCAGCGTTGACCGGCGTTGACTCACCTTGACCCATGTTTGAACAAACTTCTCAACAGCCCAGAAGATGTTGTGACCGCGCACGCTCACGTTCCTCTGGATGAACCAATCCACCAGCGCATCTGTCACATTGTAGTCCTCTACTCCCTCCCTCCTCTCGTTGAAATACCACTTGCCCTCGTTGTTGAACACTGCCCAGTTGAATCGGTTGAGGAACCACTGGAAGGAAAGGAAGGGGGTGGAAAGGGATGGCAAGGGGTGGCCAGGGGTGGCAGGGAGTGGAAAGGGGGTTGAAAGGAGTGAACCAGTCAATCAGCGCATCCGTCACATTGTAATCCTCTGCTCCCGCCCTCCGCTCGTTGAAATACCACTTGCCCTCGTTATTGGACACCGCCCAGTTGAACTTGGTTTAGGAACCACTGGGAGGGAGCGGAAGCGGGTGGAAGTGGGTGGAAAGCGGTAGAAAGGGGTGTAAAGCGGTGAACCACTCCACCAGCGCATCAGCCACATTCTAGTCCTCCTCTTGCGCCCTGCCTCCCTCCGCTCGTTGAAGTACCTTTGGGCTTCGTTGCTGCATACTGCCCAGTTGAACCGGCTTAAGAACCACTGGAGAGGGGCGGAAGAGACAGATGGAGCCCTACTTGCCCAATCGATAGGGCGTCCCTAGGTGTGTGTGAACACCATCCCAAGGTGTGAACACCATCCCAAGGTGTGAACACCATCCGAAGGTGTGATACCAGCAGCATTCCGGTCCACTTTCTCCTGCTAGGAATGGCCTAGATGGGTGTTTCAAAGATAAAAAAAAATGCCAGCACGATCGTGGGCCTTAAATGGCAACCGAAGAACACTCATGACAAACTTAAACCACGACTCTCCCAAACGAATCAAAAAATTGGTCCAAAAAAAAAAAAAAAAAAACACATCAATCGCCCCCCTTCTTGATCGTGTTACCCCACCTGGTTGTACGCTGTAGGCTGCGGCCGTATGGAACAGCACTGCTCAAAGTCGTGTTTAAGTCGTGCTTTTCGAGTCTGACAGCACCTGGGTGGTTCACACTGTTGGAGCATCAAAGACACCTCCCCTCTCTTGGTAAGCAGGGTCATGCTTGAGGCACCTCATATTTACTTTTGAAATGCCGCAAGAGCCACTGTTGCAGTCGAGCTTAGGGTCGACTCAAAACTCAACTATTTACTTTTGGGATGCCTCAAGAGCCACTGTTGCTTGCAGCATTGAAAAGCATCACGGATCTGTGCTCATGAAGAAAGGGCAGCAGTAGGAAAGGTCACCTTTAGCAAAGGGACGATAGTGAACTAGTGAAAAAAGTAACCCTTGAAAAAGTTGATTAAGATCCGAACGTACAACTCAGTTCAAACTCTAGACGAAAGCAAGCAAGCATGTTTCGGCTTTGCACGGGGATCATACCCGCTGGGCCTTCATCAGTACCCGCTAGGCCTTCATCAGTACCCGCTGGGCCTTCATCAGTACCCGCTAGGCCTTCATCAGTACCCGCTAGGCCTTCATCAGTACCCGCTGGCCCGCTGACTTTGAACTTGAGGCACCTCAATATTTACTTTTGAGATGCCTCAAGAGCCACTGTTGCAGTCGAGCTTTGAGTCGACTCAAAACTCGACTCATGAAACGTAAACGCCAAAATGACAAGTCGAGTTTTGAGTCGACTCAAAACTCAACGTAAACGCCAAAATGACAAGTAGGGTTTAGGGTCGACTCAAAACTCGACTATTTACTTTTGAGATGCCTCAAGAGCCACTGTTGCAGCATTGAAAAGCATCTCACCTCTTTTGAGAATTCTCAAAAGTCATACCTCTTGGTACGCTGTGTCGTATAGAATTGCACCGTTCACATTGGCGCCAAAGGGGAAATCTGAAGAGACCTGGTCGATCTGCACACGTGCCGGCACCAGGCCAAGCCCCAGCCCTTGAATTGACAGCCGCACAGGCCGCATGCGGTACTGTGGCGGAGGCGGGATATTGCATTGCATGTGGTGCATGGGGGGCATAGGGGGCATGGGGAGCGTGGTGAGTCGGTCGATCTGCACGCGTGCCGGCACCAGGCTGAGCCCCAGCCCTTGGATAGACAGCCGCACAGGCCGCATGCGGTACTGTGGTGGGGGAATGGAAGGGATCATGCATAGCGGCATAATGAAAAGAAGAGCTTGGGGAGCGTGGGGAGAGAGCATGGGCAGCAGGGCATGGATGAATAGGATGAATGGGGTGCATGCATGTTTACAAGTTCTTTGCTCTGCTCATAACTGCCTGCCCTCGCCTTCTCCCCTTCGAATCCACATGCTCATATCCACTTTCAGACAATAGTCGAGTCAACTTCACGCCCTTTCTCCCTTCCACCCCGCCTTCGCTCCTTCCCCCCTTCTCACCTTCTTAATGTTCTCGTTCTGTCGGATCCGCCACATGTTCATATCCACTTTCAGAAGCGATGCTGACGTCACCCAGATCTGGGTCCCCACCGCTGCGCCCTGCACATACACCGCCACCTCAGCGGCCGGCTCGTGCAGGGTAAATCCCCCCGTTAATTTCGTCCAGCACGTGGACCGTGCGTTCGCCCCTCCGATGCACAAATACCTGCCCGATAAAAACAGTAAAAATAGCATATAACAGATGTATAAGCTGTTGCGTGGTTCTGGGTGATTTTATTCAGTGCAGAACCATAGTGCCATTACCAAATGTCCACTCTCACTCACCCACACTGCCGGCTCATATGCCGCTGCCGCCATGCACGCCAGTCTGCTTTAGCCCCAAATACGTGTTCAAAAAGTTGCCCAATGCTAGGTACGAGTAGGGCGTTGGCGCTGCTGTGATGCCACGTCCTTCAAGCCTACAATAAGCCGTGCTGCTGTGATGCCACGTCCTTCAAGCCTACAATAAGCCGTGCTGCTGTGATGCCACGTCCTTCAAGCCTACAATAAGCCGTGCTGCTGTGATGCCACGTCCTTCAAGCCTACAATAAGCCGTGCTGCTGTGCCTGTGTCGCACTCACTTGTTGTTGATCTTGGCCGATGCAGTGACGTACTGCCGCTCCCCCGCGTCCAGCTTCACCCAGATCGCCAGCTCGTAAGCCGCCGCAGGCACGTCCCGCACGCTCTGCTTGGGCCCCGCATACGTGTACGAGCGGTTGTATGCCACCAGGTACGAGTAGGGCGTGGGCGCTGTCGCGTTGACCATGGCTTTAATCGGCGCGTACCCAAAGCCTTGCCAGCCAGTGGTGCCGTTCGCTATGCTGGGGTTGGTGAAGAGATTTCCCTCCTGGGCGGGGGGCGTGGGCGTGTTGGAACACTGGGAGAAAGTAGAGGGGAGGAGGGGAGGGGGAGAGGGGGAGCAGCAGGTTGAGAAGAATGAACAGGGGAAGGGAAAAACAGAGAGAACTCTCACACGCTCTGCTTGGGCCCCCGCATACGTGTACGAGCGGTTGAACGCCACCAGGTACAAGAAGGGCGTGGGCGCTGTTGGTTGACCACGGCTTTAATGGGTGCAACCCGAAGCCCTGCCAGTCCGAGGTGTCGTTCGCTATGCTGGGGTTGGTGAAGAGATTGCCCTCTTGGGAAGGGGGGCATGGTCGTGTCGGAACACTGGGAGGAGGGGAGAAGGGGACGAGAGAGTGTGAGGAGGAAGGAGAAGAAGGAGAAGTAGCCAAAATCCTGCCAGGCGGTGGAGACGAGAGGAGTTTCAACGCAGGCCAGGTTGGCGAGTTTCATACGCGTGTGATGGGAGGGTGTTGGTCCGCCATAACACGCATGCTCAAAACTGTGAATCATGATGATACAGCAAGTAGATGCATGAAAACGTCTGTGCACACTTTTCTAACTGAGGATGATATCACACTCATTCAAACGTACAGGGACAAAATGCTGACCTGGTGGACAAAGATCACGTGAGGCAATAGAGAGAACTGTGGTGCTGATAGTACGCTCCTGCCGGAGGTGTGGGCGCGTGCAAAAGCTACAAGGGAGCTGGAGGTTGCGGAGGCGTGAATGACTAACAACCGCAACCTCCAACTCCCTTGCAGCTTTCGCATGCGCCCACGCCTCCGGCAGTACGTACCATCAACAACCAGTTCTCCCTATCACCTCACGTGATATTCGTCCACCAGGTCAGCAAATCGTCCTTGTTCGTCTGAATGTGCGTGATATCATCATTAGTCAGAAAAGCATGCACAAGCGCTTTCATGCGTCTACTTGTTGTACCATCAGGACTCACGGTTTTGAGCACGTGTGTTATGGTGGACCAATACCCTCCATCACACGCGCCTGAAACTCGCCAACTTGCCCTACTCTGGTTCCGGAACACTGGGGTGAGGGGAGGACGGGAGGAGGGGACAAGAGAGTCTGAGGAGGAAGGGATTAAGGAGAGGAAGTAGCCGAACCTTGTTCCCTGCTGGAATGGAGGATGGGGTTGCCTCGTTGGGCGGGGGCCATGGGCGTGGGGGAACACTGTAGGAGGGGAGAGGGGGAGGAGGGAGGGGGAAGGGGGGGAGGGGAGGGGAGAGTGGAGGACGTAGAGAGAGTGGGTGGTGGGGAGGAGAAGGCGAAGGACTGGAGTCAAGAAAGAGGAGATGACTGTGTGCTCTTCAGTTTCTTCAGAGGCGAATGCGTGCTATAAAGCAGACGAAGAAGTACTACACACCGCCCCATGCTGCAGCTAAGAAATAACTTTCCCTCTTCTGCTAGGGAAGAGTGTGTGGGGGAACTCTAGGGAACGCAGAAGTGGCAGGATGGGAAGACGTGGCAATCAGGGAAGGGGACAGACAAGTAGAGGAGAATAGGCACAGAACAGTGCGGTGCAGTGCGGTTACGTACAAAAACGACTTTAAAGACGTCGCTGCTGCCGCTCTTCTTTTTGGCTGCATTCGTCCTCGCCTGCAACGATTTCACGTAGTCCAGCGAAAGCAGCCCGTCGCGCTGGCGATACTTCGCCCACTCGCGCTCGTACGGCGACGATCGTGGTAACTTGGGTAGCTTGGATTTCGCGAGGCTGATCGCCTCGCGAGCCTGCTCCCACGGAGATAGTGGTAACTTGGTTTCCGCCAGGTCGACTTGAATTGCGTGCGCTGGAGTGATTGGGGCTGATGAGCGGAGAACAGTGGGCGCGGGGAGGGGAAGTGGTTGGTGGGGATGGGAGGGGCGGGGAGAAGGGGAGGTGGGGAAGGGGGAAGGGCGGGAGGGTGAAATGCAGGGGCAGAAGGAGAAGAAGGGGAGAAACGAAGGAAGCAGTGAAGAGTACTGGTAGTGGTTGATTTCAACATGGTTCGTAGATGACAGGCCACCAGATAGCACGTGGTCGCCAGGCGTGCAGACTGCACATTCCAGCGAGATTGCCAAAGAGGGAACGCGGTTAGTTCAAGGCAGTCTACTTCATAAAAGCTTTTGAAGTTTCTCAAAACGGGCACTGGTTGCCTGAAGATACGCACGCCAATTGAACATATCGAAGTACATGTCAAGACGGGCTACTTATTGAGCTCGTCAAGTGAAATCGAAGGAGAGGAGGAAGTTGCGAAGGAAGAAAGTGGAAAGAGAGAGAGATTACGAACAGTCTCAGCGGAACGTGTTTCTTAGGCGCCACAAACGGGGAGAAGAACTCACATGAACGACCAGATTGGTGGCTGCAAAGCATGATCGTCGCGGTGAGGGCGATCACGGCGAACAGTCTCAGTGGAGCTCGCACGCGTGGACTTGCCATTTCTAAAGCTGAAAATCGTTTTTGCAGACCCCTGCAGGATTGATTCGCTCACTAGGGTTATCTGGACATGCCAACAGATACCTAAGACACGGACTAGCTTCCACGCAGCCTCAGATATTAGGACCAATGGACCAAAGGTGACACTATCGAGTACGATGACACCTCGCGAAGCTTCGGATATTACAACGAAATGCTAATTGCTTCGGATTCGCGATCCGACTGAATAGCTTCCCGTCAAGCATCTACATGCTTCAAACGCGGAGTCCAACGACAAATTCAAGAACACGGAAATGCACGACCTAACTATCAGAGGATGGTTAGTAGTAAGAGACAGATGGGAGCGAGTAGATGTCCAAGTATAATCAGGCCAGGAAGAACTCTGGAAGGAACATTTATCGAAGCGCGAAAAGAACGCTCGTGGTTGAAGTGAAAGAAGCCTTGAAGTAGTCCAAACAGTGATGTGGAGTTCCTTTTGTGCGGGAGAGCGAAAAGTGGATGTCGTGTCGACTCTACAATTGATGCCCAGCCAGTGCACGCGAATTTGCCTTGCACCGGATGGAAACGCTGCACCCGAGGTTGATTCCCCAGCCTGTTGCTCCCACGTTATAAGCGCGTCGCGTGGTTATCAACCAATAGTAACGAACAGACCGAGGTCAAGCAGAAGAGACTGAAGTCAGACAAGGTAACAGATCTTGTTTATATGCACCTGCGAATCTTTTTTAGCTAGCTGCGAATTGACGAAACTTATGCGATCAGCTCGTTACAGTTTATACGCCTCCTTCACAAGGCAACCGGGAGGGGCTCAAACAGGCATCAATTGTACTCGACATCCCGTAATCATCCATTCCATCCGATTCCTCAGAATTCAAGAAATCGAGGGTTGAGGTTTGTTGTCACTCCCTCCCACCTGCGTAGTTGTTGGTAAGGCGAAGCAGAGTAGCAAAAGGTGAAGAGAAGTGAGAGGAGGTACCAGGAGGTGATGCGGGGTTGAGGGAAAAGGACTCTGTCTCTCCACATAATTTGCAGCCCGCACCCCATGCAGCCAACTCCCCTTCCCCGAAATTGCAGCCTGATCCTTGCAACCGAATCTCAAGGTTACTAGGAGCGCGTTTCAAAGTGAGCCGGTACCGTTTGGGTTGCATGGGTCATTTTCGAAATGACACTGCACTGACATTTGACACTCTCAAAGGTGAAGCCTAGAATTTTCATAACGCTCGATCACGACCTCGCTTTGGTGAGTGCTACCGAGTTCGCGTTTTGGCGGCAACCGACATTTCATCGCCAGAAAGGCGCCTTGCCGCAAGAGACAGGCAGGTGCAGGTGGTTTGTGTGGTGCCCCCAGGCCAGACCCGAAAGCCAACATTCCCTGTCGCAGAGTTGTGGTGTGATCAGAAGCTGGTGCGTGGCTGCTATGGCGAAACGGTGTGCGAACAAAATGCTGTACAGAGGGCAAGATGCGAACCGCCCCGCTGAACCTGCAATTGACACTGAACCTGAAAGTCTGGCATGGACGGTTGGCTTGGCACCCAGTGCCATGATATCCAGCCGCCATTGGAGTCATGTAAGGGGAGTGCCACAAAAAAGGCATTTGGTTGAAATGCACTACACGACCGAACAAACTACATTTCATGAACTAAAAAAAAGAAAGGCACCACCTCCATCATCACCTTGTTTAGGGCTCGTGTCCTTGAGGTCGAACTTTTGCAAAAGTTCGAACTTCTAGAAAGGTTGTGCACGGTAGGATACATTTGAGAAACGGGTCGCCACGGTACAAAGCGGTACCAGGCTCAAACTTTGACAATCTACACCATAAGACACGCGCCCTTAGTGTGCATCACATTAACACCTACCAAGGCTGTACACAAATATAATCTCATAAGTACGACGTTTCTCTCCCTTTGCTAGCACCCTGGCCACATGGTAAACAACACACACAAAAAGTGTCTTGGTTTAGCACGACAAGCAAACACACAGCATGTGTGTTTCACCAATCATCAAAGAAAGAAAGAAAGAACAATGAGTTCAAGCGGAGCTAGACGTACAGCAATGGCAATCATTTCCGTCAACAATGGCCGCAGCAGATGAAGTGGCTGGCGACATGGGAGACAAGGGGCACACGGGGGCAGAGAGGTATGAATGGGAAAACATCAGAGTTTGGTTGGAACTGAAACTTTGTAATGAACCTTCCAAGACTCTCCAATATTGCTACCCAACGTTATCTCCCATCCTCCTCTCTGCTTCACACCTCTCCATACATGCCCTCCTTCGTCTCCTTCCTCACTCCCTCTTCACCTCGCCCTACTCTCCCTCCTCTCCCTTCCCTTTACCCCTCACTCGCCCTTTCCTGAAATCACATCACCCTTCACCCTCCCTCACTCACCCACTGGGTCGGGCCATCCACAGGAGCAGCCTCGGGATTGTCGTGAACCTGCCACGTGACAGCAAGGGGAAGGGGTGATGATCAGAAGAGGGAAATGGATCGCATGGAGGACAGCCTCGGAATTGTTGTGAACCTGCCATGTGGCAGCAAGGGGAAGGGGTGATGATCAGCGAGGACGGTATTGTCGCGAACCTGCCACGTGGCACGACCAGAAAGGGGTGATAGGCCACACATCGGGAAGCGATGGGCGGCACAGAGGTCAGCGGTGGGTGGCACAGAGGTCAGCGGTGGGTGGCACAGAGGTCAGCAGTGGGTGGCACAGAACAGTTATCAGTAGTGGGCGGCACAGAGGTCAGCGGTGGGCGGCACAGAACAGTTATCAGCAGTGGGCGGCACAGAGGTCAGTGGTGGGCGGCATAGAGGTCAGTGGTGGGCGGCATAGAGGATTGTGATGAGCGGCAGAGAGGAGGGTAAGCGCACATAGCTGCTGCGACAAAAATACACCACACCACATCTGTACCAAACATGCTCACGTGCTCACATGCACACATGCTCACATGCTCACATGCTCACTCATGCATGTATGCTTAGCACATATGAAAGATGTTATGCCCACGAAAACGACGTCCACCCCCACCGCCACACATGCCCATATGCGCATTCATGCACGCACGCATGGCACCTTCGTACTTGAAACACGTCCCAGTGCTTACCTCCATGAATACGCCGTCCACGCCCACCGCCACACATGCCCGCGCCACAGCCGGGATGAGATGCCTCTGCCCTCCACTCGCCAGGCCTCCTCCTGGCAGCTGCAAGTCAGGCAATTCGATGTCAATGCAAGTCAATGGGAGTCAATGGGAGTCAATGGGAGTCAATGGGAGTCAATGAGGGTCAACAGAGATGAGATGCCTCATAAGTCAAGTCAACGTAAGTCAACTGGACCCCTGACTCACAGAGAATCATAAGCTCACAAGGAGAGTCATTAACAGTCAATGGGAGTCAACAAGAATCGATTGCTGCATGCCTGCCGCTGAGCCGGTTGCTGCAGGGAGTGGGTGACGTCAGCAACCACAGGGCAGTTTGCCGCCCGCATCTGGACCAGATTGCGCGGATCCAGGATCAGATCTCCGTATCCGAACATGTTGCCCCGCTCACACACCATCACATGGGGATTGCCCACCGCCCTCACCTTCCCTGCTGCTGCCACCACCACCTGGCGTGTGGAAGAGGGTTGCATGAATGCATGCATTGATTGAAAATTGCAATAATGAGGCCACTTTCACACACCATCACATGAGGATTGCCCACCGCCCTCACCTTCTCTGCTGCTGCCACCACCACCTGGTGTGTGGCGGAGGGGTGCATGGATGCACGTGCTTAAATAAGCGGTTGGAAGAATAAATTTGTCAATGCAATATCGTGTGTGAATGGGTACTCATGGGGATTGCTGACCACCTTCACCTTCTCTGCTGCTGCCACCACCTCATGTGTGAGGGATGGATGGATGGATGGATGGATGGATGGATGGATGGATGGATGGATGGATGCATCACATCACCTCCTAACCTCACTGTACTGCATCTCACCTCACCTCACCTCGCCTCACCTCACCTCACCTCACCTCACCTCGCCTCACCTCACCTCGCCTCACCTCGCCTCGCCTCACCTCACCTCACCTCGCCTTGCCTCACCTCACCTCACCTCGCTTCACCTCACCTCGCCTCACCTCACCTCGCCTAACCTCACCTCGCCTCACCTCACCTCACCTCACCTCACCTCACCTCACCTTACCTCACCTCACCTCACCTCACCTCACCTCACCTCGCCTCGCCTCACCTCACCTCACCTCACCTCGCCTCGCCTCACCTCACCTCACCTCACCTCGCCTCACCTCACAGCACAGCACCGCACTGCACCTCACCTCACCTCGCCTCACCTCACCTCACCTCACCTCACCTCGCCTCACCTCACCTCGCCTCACCTCGCCTCGCCTCACCTCACCTCACCTCGCCTTGCCTCACCTCACCTCACCTCGCTTCACCTCACCTCGCCTCACCTCACCTCGCCTCACCTCACCTCGCCTCACCTCACCTCACCTCACCTCACCTCACCTCACCTCACCTCACCTCGCCTCGCCTCACCTCACCTCACCTCACCTCGCCTCGCCTCACCTCACCTCACCTCACCTCGCCTCACCTCACAGCACAGCACCGCACTGCACCTCACCTCACCTCGCCTCACCTCACCTCACCTCACCTCACCTCGCCTCACCTCACCTCGCCTCACCTCGCCTCGCCTCACCTCACCTCACCTCGCCTTGCCTCACCTCACCTCACCTCGCTTCACCTCACCTCGCCTCACCTCACCTCGCCTCACCTCACCTCGCCTCACCTCACCTCACCTCACCTCGCCTCGCCTCACCTCACCTCACCTCACCTCGCCTCGCCTCACCTCACCTCACCTCACCTCGCCTCACCTCACAGCACAGCACCGCACTGCACCTCACCTTACCTCGCCTCACCTCACCTCGCCTCACCTCACCTCGCCTCACCTCGCCTCGCCTCGCCTCACCTCACCTCACCTCGCCTTGCCTCACCTCGCCTCACCTCACCTCGCCTCACCTCACCTCGCCTCACCTCACCTCACCTCACCTCACCTCGCCTCGCCTCACCTCACCTCACCTCACCTCACCTCACCTCACCTCACCTCACCTCACCTCACCTCACCTCACCTCACCTCGCCTCGCCTCACCTCACCTCACCTCACCTCGCCTCGCCTCGCCTCGCCTCGCCTCACGGCACCTCACCTCACGGCACAGCACCGCACTGCACCTCACCTCAGCGCTGCACATCTGCCCCTTTTTAATGTTGATGGGTCGGCCTGTGCGAGCTGCTGCTGTCAGCAGATCCGTCTACTGCAGCGGAGGGAGGGAGGGAGGGAGGGAGGTTAGAAAGAAATGGGGTGGCAAAGTGACAGGGTGGCATCGACATGTGTGATGCACAGGAGAGGAGGACTGGGGGGCATGGAACCACCCCACAACGAGCACCTGAAAGATAAGAAACACCTGATGAAACATCTGAAGGCACACCTCACTGCAAAGAAACGCCTAAGCGAGGCCCACGTAAGCAAGGCCCACCTGAGGAAGGCCCACCTGAGGTGAGGAAGGCTCACCTGTCGGCAGAGGAAAGCCGGGATCTGAATGACGTCCACCACCCTGGCCACTGGCTCGCACTGTGCGTGTGGTGATGGGGGGGTGGAGAGTAGGAAGGAGAGGAAGGAGAGGAAGGAGAGGAAGGAGAGGAAGGAGAGGAAGGAGAGGAAGGAGAGGAAGGAGAGGAAGGAGAGGAAGGAGAGGAAGGAGAGGAAGGAGAGGAAGGAGAGGAAGGAGAGGAAGGAGAGGAAGGAGAGGAAGGAGAGGAAGGAGAGGAAGGAGAGGAAGGAGAGGAAGGAGAGGAAGGAGAGGAAGGAGAGGAAGGAGAGGAAGGAGAGGAAGGAGAGGAAGGAGAGGAAGGAGAGGAAGGAGAGGAAGGAGAGGAAGGAGAGGAAGGAGAGGAAGGAGAGAAGGAGAGGAAGGAGAGGAAGGAGAGGAAGGAGAGGAAGGAGAGGAAGGAGAGGAAGGAGAGGAAGGAGAGGAAGGAGAGGAAGGAGAGGAAGGACAGAAGGAGTAGCAGGGATTGGGTTTGAATGGCGAAGAGGAGGAGGTGAATGAAAAGGTCCGTCTCACCTGCCTCATTCCGTTCCATCTCACCTGGCTCGTTTCATCTCATCTCACCTGGCTCGTTTCATCTCATCTCACCTGGCTCGTTTCATTTCATCTCACCTGGCTCGTTTCATCTCATCTCACCTGGCTCGTTTCATCTCATCTCACCTGGCTCGTTTCATGTACATCAGTGAGCACTGGCACTTGCACCTGCTGTCTCACTTGCTCCAGGATCTGTTGCACCACTCCCAGACAGAAGATGCACAACAGCAGGGAGCGGTAGGAGGGTGTAGAAGAGGAAGGGGGAGGGTGGAAAAAAGGAATGTGAGATTGAAGTATAAACGGAATCAAAGGGTAAAATAACATCATAATGTGAGTCAGACTGAACAGGAAAAGGGGACAAAACCAGAAATGCAAAGAAAAAACTGGAGCTGGCCCGGAGTTGGAAGCTTCCACAGATTGAGAGAAAGGCAGGCGTGAAGACAAATAGATATCGCGCTTCAACTGACACTGGCCCCTTCCCTTCAACTCACCTTAAGCCCCTGCTCCATGCCTGGCCCTCTGAACGCATCCACTGACGTGCGATTGGCAATCGGTCTTCTGACATGTTCTCAGCAAGCAGCAAACTTAAGTGGGGTTCCATTCAGCTCACCTTAAGCCCCTGCTCCATGCCTGGCCCTCTGAACGCATCCACTGACGTGCGATTGGCCTTGTCAAAGCTGGCCTTGAAAACGAACCTCAGACCCAGGCTGGGATGGATCGATTGCAGTTGCAGAAGAAAGGGAATACACGGGGAACCATTGAGTAGGTTGCTTGGCGTGCGTTTTACAAGAGTCAGAGAGAGGGTCAAAGAGGGTGTGCTAGGTGCTACCATGCATCAAGCGATGTGACTCAAAGAGGGTGTGCTCCTTTAGCGTGATGCACTTAATAAACCGTGCCTTAAGCAGCAAAGAGTACTGCCTCGACTTAATCAACTCCTTCCAGCTCCCCCGCCCCCCCCCCCCCCTTTCACCTCTACCCCCCAAGCCTCCCCCAAGCCTCCCCCAAGCCTCTGTCCACCTGTCAGCGACCTCCTTGATAGCCCGTGCCATGTGCAGAGTGTGCTGCTCCGTCCTAACCATGCCCTTCCAGCCCCTCACGCCTCCCCATTCACCTCAATCCCTCAAGCCTCCCTTAGACCTCCCTCAAAGCTCCCATAAACCTCCCTCAAACCTCCCTCAAACCTCCCTCAAACCTCCCTCAAACCTCCCTCAAACCTACCTTAAACCTCCTTTAAACCTTCCTCAAACCTCCCTTCAATCTCCCTCAAACTTCCCTGTACCTGTCAGCGACCTCCTTGATAGCCCGTGCCATGTGGAGCGTGTGCTGCTCCGATTCGATCACGTTCGGCCCCGCTATCAGGAAAAAGGGCTCGCCCGGCATTGGCTGTTAGTGGTGGGAGGTCAAGACAGAGAGGGCGGAAACGGGGAGAGGAGCCAGCTTTCTTGAGGCGCCTTTTCCAACAGGGTTAAACACTTCCAGACCCTCCATCAGACAAAAAAGCTCACCCGCCCTTCGTTATCGATTGTATGGTAACACATTCAGCAGTGCAAGAAGACCTTGACTCTCCTTTTGGACAGTCGGACGAGACGGGGTTGGGTTTGGGGTCTGGGGTTTTTGAGTCTGATTCATATGTCACCTCGCTTTTTAGTCTGACTCAGAAGCGCATCATTCTGCGAATGAACAGGACGAGACTGGAGGCCACAAGGTGTAGAGACTGGAGCCGTGGAATGCAGTGACTGACACTTTGGAAATAAAGACACGCTCTTTCTCTCTGTAGGCAATGGGCCAAGCCGGACAGATGGAAGCACTTCGGGGGTGACGTTCACATCGTAGCAGTCTGGATTCGATATGAACACAGGGCAGGACCATGACTCGAAATGACTAAAAGGAAGCTTAGCTTCTTACCACCTGTAACGCGAGAGACTACACGTCGAAATGAACGCTAACATTTTCGTACTGGAGAGGTATGGACAGAAGCGAGCACAGGAGAGGACGGGAATGACGCTAACTTCTTACAACCTGGAACGGGAACTGGGCTTCGGGAATGACGCTAACTTCTTACTACCTGGAACGGAAACTGGGCTTCGGGAGAGACGCTAACATGCTAGTCTTGCAGCGATTGACCAACGCACACCATCACTAAGCGGAAATCTCCAGTAACAGGATCTACTACTTGATACCATTTACGGTTCTACCAACGCACATTCACGTCGAAGCTCGGGGCCGCCGGCACGCTAGTCGCTGCCATGGCGGACGCCTGGAATTGATTGGTGTAGCGGCTATTCCCAAGGCCGGCCAGTCTGTTAGTCAGGGCTGCTCAGAGACAGAAGTAATGTTTCTCCGAGGTTGGGATTTCGAGACGTAGACGAATTTATGAGTGACATCTGCTTCACTTCCGGTTCTAAAAAGTCCCATGAGCTCTCATCCAAGCTTGAAAGCATAGCGGGAGAGCCTAAACCAGAGCGGTTCGTGGCTAGGCAAGTGTTTACAGCGCGTTCATCGAGGTTTCACTGAATGCGAGTTTTCAAAACATTAAAACGTTTCCAGTGAAATAACATCCATTCTTCTTATGATGCCAAACTAGTTTCAGGTCACCATCAGATGCTCCACAGCAATGTCCATTATCTTGCCATACCATGGCAAACCTATCAAAACATTCCCAACCAAAACAGATCATCCCGAACTTTCACAACAGATGCGGGTATGTTCTCTAGCGTATAACAAGCTCCTATTTTCTAGACGGACACGCCTTGCTCAAGCAGCAGTGTGAGGTTGGGCTGGGAGGCAGTAGGGCCCTCGAATTGGATGGGGCCTGAACAGTGCAAAAGGGAGGAGCACAAAGGTTGAAAGAGATTAAGTCAAACGAGAGCGCAACCAACAGCAAGAGCAGCATCAAACTCAGAAGGGAAGGAAGATGAACCAATGATGGGGGCGAAGGGGATGGGAAAAGAGGGGGTTGAGGAAGGCGGGGTGAGGACAGGAGAGGAAGAAGGGAAGGGCGCACCTGGGCTTCTGTAGCGGTCATTAAGAGCCCAGTCGTCACGCACTGAGACAAACTTCTTGAAGGGCGCACCCTCAAATTCAACCATGGCCTTCTTGATCACAGGCTTGTTCTTGCCTGCTCACGTGCACACATGCACACATGCGAAAACACACACAGCAGCATGATCCACAGGATGAGTGAAAATCTAAGTGTGAGAGGCTTGTGGTACAAACAACCTCGAGCTGAAGACAGTGAGTCTTCTCTCCCCTCTCCTCTCCTCCCCACCACCCACCCTTGCGCCTCTCCACCACCATGAGCTCAGTCAGTGCAGTGCTCCTCACAGTCCATTACTACTAGCTAATCACTACACACCCTTCTCCCTGTTTCCTCAGTCCTCTCCTGTACTCTCCTCCCCGCACTCTCTGCTCTCCTCCCCTCACTCCCTCCTCTCCTCCCCTCACTCTGTTCTCTCCTCCCCTCACTCTCTCCTCTCCTCCCCTCACTCTCTCCTCTCCTCCCCTCACTCTCTCGTCTCCTCCCCTCACCCTCTCGTCTCCTCCCCTCACCCTCTCGTCCCCTCACTCTCTCGTCTCCTCCCCTCACTCTCTCCTCTCCTCTCCACCTGACCTTGGAGCCTCTTCACCACCATGAGCTCAGTGAGCGCGGTCCACTCCTGAGGGGGAGCAGTCAGGTTCCCCACAGACGCAATGAGCCCTGTCTCCCCTGCCTGCACCAGTGCTGCTGCCACACCCACCAGTACCTCTCCCCACTCAAACCCCCCCTCGTTTCTCTCACTTCCTACCTCTGTTACTCACCTATGCGCCCCTTCCCCTTCCCACCACTCGCCTTTGCCCCTCTGCCACTCACCCTTGCGCCTCTCCACGACCATGAGCTCAGTGAGAGCAGTGCCGCCCACAGTCCATTCCTGGGGGGGAGCAGTCAGGTTCCCCACGGACGCGATCAGCCCCGTCTCCCCCGCCTGCACCAGTGCTGCCGCCACGGAACCGAGAGCATAGCAGTAGGTGGCGTCGAAGAGCGTGGGCATGCCACACCGCCCCTCGTAGCTGCAGGGGTAGACATGGTAGGAGCAGGGGGAGGGAAGGGAGGCGGACTTGAATTGCTAGGAGTTGGGGAGTGTTCAGGATCAGTAGCTTGTGTTCAGCACTCTCATCAAAGCCTAAACTCCCCAATCTACGCCCTTCTTCCCACCTCCTCTCTCCTCTGCCTGGCTCCTCTCACTCTGCAGGATCTCAAACCCGAAACGTCGCTCAAGACTCACCCGCAGAAGTGCGAGCGGCCCTCAAAGGCGCCCTTGTACTGCCCCGCCTTGGCCCGCCGCCCCAGCTCCTCCTCCACCATGCTGATCAGCATCTTCTCCGTCTCTATCCGCGCCACCTGGGGGATCGGGGTGGCAGAGTGGGAGATGGGGAAGTGGAGGTAAGGGGAACTACGTGAAGGCCAAGGGAGGGGCGCATTAACGGGGTTCAGGAAGCAAGAGGAACAGTGTGCTCATTTCCTGCTCTGACACTGACAGCACACCTTTTGCTCCTGTGCTTGGACTGCGCGCGCGTGTTTGCACTACAAGCGCCGACTAACCTGCACGTTGCCATGGGGATCTCGCTCGAGCAGCAGCTGGTCCTGGATGTCCTTGGGCAGCGAGTCGAAGAGCGTGCGCGTGTTGGGCTGCAGTCCCTCCTTCCACTCGTACATGCCCTCCGCGTCCACCGCCGCCTTGGCCAGAATCTCATTCAGCTGGGCAATCAAGTCGTTGATCTGCCAGGTGTTTAGAGAAGGAGAGGACGAGTGGGTTAGTGGGAGAGTGAGTTGAAATGGGCATTGGTGTGTCCCTCTGTGTTGGGCTGCAGCCCCCCCTTCCAATCGTACATGCCCTCCGCATCCTCGGCCGCCTTGGCCAGAATCTCGTTCAGCTGGGAGATGAGGTTGTTGATCTGCGTGAAGCGAGAGACGGGATGGAGGATAACGACTGGTGCGGAAGTGAGAACAATGCGGGATGGGGCCAACGAGTCCCTCGGGAATGCACACCGTCAGGATGAGGTCAAAAGACAGGGCGAGGATGCGGACAGGTACCTCGGGGATGGCTGAAGTCGATGAGCCCCTCGGGAATGAGCACCACGCCGAATATAAGGCCGAGATCAAGGTGGCTAAAGAGGCCTGAGAGGTACCTAGGGGATGAAACCGACAAGCCCCTCCTCACCTCGGGGATAAAGTCGATGAGCCCCTCGGGAATGAGCACCACGCCGAAGTTCTTGCCCGCATCGGCGCGCTTGCAGATGACGTCAGCGATGTGGTTGGTGACCTGGCCCAACGTCATGCCCTTGGCGAACACCTGGCGGGACGAGCAGAAGAGGCGACGGGGGGGGGCGACAGAGAGAGCAGAACCAAGCAGAGGAGAGACTGATACGCATGCGACGACAGAGAGGAGACGTGGCCACGAGAAAGGGATACGCATGAGACAGTGAAAGACAGGCGTAGACATACGGAAACAGTTCTCTCACACACAACGCATCTCCTCCCCCGCAACCAACCGCGTGACGGCATTGCGAACGGCACTCCACCGTTCTTACCACCCACTGACCTCCTCGCCGACGAGCGTGATGTTGGGGTGAGTCTGCAGTGCGCACTCGAGGGTAATGTGCGACGCCGCCCGGCCCATCAGCCGCACGACTGCCGTGCCGCCACGTGGACGAAGGTACGTCCCATGCGCCCGTCCCACGTCGCCACGTGGGCCAACATGCACCGAAACGCCAAACGCACGCAACCACACGCCATCGTTGGGAGGGTTGGGGAAAAGGAAGCGAGCGAGGGGACGAAACAGGGTGGGAAATAGAACGTGACATTAGAGGCAGCTCTTATCAGAAGCAGACAGGCCTGATTTGATCCACAGCATGCATCGTGCGCGCCACGCCCATAGGAGCGCGAAATGCGGAAACGGCGAACAGACCACCCCTCCATCTCTCTACTTATCCCTGCCTTTCCTTTCTTGCCCCCCTCCCTCTCTTTTTCTGTACCCTTCCACTTTCGCCATTCCTTCCTTTTCTCCCTCCCCCCTTTTCGGTCCACTCACAGTGATAGTACTTGCCGCCAGACCGCGCATCAGTCATGACATTCCCGATGGTCTCGGAGTATATCTGAACGGGAAACCGGGCATGCACGCGCAAGGGAAGACAGTGCAGAGGAAGAAGGCATAAGCGAGGCATTTGCGCTGAGGAATATTCTCGGCGAATCGGAGCTACGAAACGCAAAGCTGGCTGATAGGCTGAAACAATATCGAGATTGTGAATCGCGTGGACATTGCAAAAGCTAGTGACGCAGTGACGTGCCTGTTCCCATGAACCCTTTCCAGTTTGCTTCTACCCCCGACAACATTCGAAACGAGAACCTGGGGCGGTCGAGCAGTCTCTACCTCCCATAGCGATCTCCCCCCCACACACACGCACCTTGCAGGCGGTGTCGAAGCCAGCTGATGGGCACTTGCGCCGCCTTGCTCTGACACGCTCTTAACCCTTCCAATACCCCACATACCACCGCGCATCACCCCGCACACTCCCTGGTTCACCTTGCACGCGGTATCGAAGCCGAAGCTGATGGGCACTTGCGCCGCCTTGAGATCGCCGTCGATGGTCTTGGGGCACCCGATCACCTTCGTCTTCAGGCCCTTGCCGCTGCCATTGGGTGACGGGGTGGGAAAAATGGGTTGGAAAGAGATGAAACGCGACGAGAGGCGGTTTAACACGGTCGGATGCGATGCAAGGAAACGCGCGGAGAAAAAACGGCCGTCGAAATGTGCCGCTCCGAGGAAAGTCTTGCCAAAAGGGCGGCGAGCACTGACCGGAAGTGCTCGGCAAGCAGGCACGCGTTGGTGATGGAGTCGTCTCCGCCGATAACCACCAGCCCGTCCAGCGATAGAGGGCTGTGATTAGCCAAGAGTGCACTGGTGACTGGCGCAGGACGCTCGTGCAACCCTAGACGCGAGGGAGGGTACTGACCGGAAGTGCTCGGCGAGCAGGCACGCGTTGGTGTTGGAGTCGTCTCCGCCGATGACCACCAGCCCGTCGAGCGAAAGCTGCTCCGCCGACGCCACGGCCATGGCGAACTGCGCGGAGGAAAGAAGGACAGCGAAAGTCAGGGAGAGAAGGGCGGGAAAAGAGCGGAAACGATGAAAAAAAGCGGCCATATGTTGAATGGGCCACAAAAAACAGTAGCGGAAGGTCATACGCAAAGAGTATATCCGACATTGCGGAAGTGAGACAGGGGAAACAAGGGGACGAGGGGGAAAGCGAAACCGAGTGGAACGACTGAGAGCTCGCCACAACGAAGAATCGACGACATCGACGCCGCTAAGAAGAACCGTCCGTACCTGCTCGGGGGACTCGATCTTGTCGCGGCCGGAGCAGATGATATCGAAGCCGCCCTGGTTGCGGTAGGGGTAGAGGAACTCCGCCGTGATCTCCACGTACTTGCACTTCATCACTCCCGCTGGCCCCCCCAGGAAACCCAACAGCTTGCTGCCGGGCACTTTCTCCTGCAGGTAGTCTGACGGTGCAAACAGATGGTGCGGGGAGGACGGGGCAGTGAAAAGGATAGAGAGGTAGAAAAACTGACTGGATCTCTGCCTGCTGTTTGGGAGAGTCAATGCCAAGTTCAAGAGCATCAGGAAACGAGGAACTTGCAGCATGGATGCAAAGAGATGACTGAGCTATACATTGAACCTGGATACATTGTTCCTGAGCAGCACATCCACACACAACGGGCTAAAAATGGGTCGCTAAGCGCAACGACTGACGAACAGGGATGAGGACCAGCTTTTTGAATCTGGAAAGAAAGTCGTCCAGAATGAAAGGTGCCCGTGACGATAAGTCACAACATCAAAACAAGAGCAGCATAGCCAAAACAAGGAGAAGACTCACCGAAGAGTCCCGCGATGACATTGTGTCCGCCGGGAGCCTGGCCTCCGGACAGCACGACACCGACAGTGATGGGCGTGGGGGCTGCGGCGGATGCGCCGGCGGGAACGAGCTTCACGGAGGGCTGGCCGTAGAGCGAGGGGAAGAGCTTGGCGATCTCCTCTGGTGGGTTGAGAGCAAGGGAGGTAGATGAGGAGGCAGAGGAAGTGGAAGCGGAAAGGTTGGAGGACAGAACGAACTTGAAAGACTGCTGGCCGTAGAGCTTCGCGAACTCCTCTGAAAGAAGTAATGCTAATGGAATAGCTTGGCCAAGCAGACAAGTTGCTGCTCCCTTGCATCACTGTTTTACGCGAACTAGCGTGGCAAATCCACCACTAACTAGACAGGAACTTCTTGCATGCAAACCTGGAACAAATTTGACCTGGATCTGTTCGTGTAGAAAAGAATCCACCCTAATGCTGCCATAAAGAATGATCTTCGCAAAACGCATCGTCACAAGGTCGGCACGGCACACACGAGCACCACGTGTTGACTTTCGAATCGACACAAACGAGCAACACATGTTTACTAGTGATATATTATCCGCCAGGGACGCGTACCATCGTTGCCGGCGGCCTTGGTGGGAGGACCCTTCTCGACAACGCTGGGCCCATCGAGCATGGAGGGGAGGGTAGGGCGGAACTTGAGACGAGCCTGCTGCAGCTCGCTGTACGCGGAGATGTCCTTGGACAGCTTCGACGCATCGAGGCCCTCGGGTAACGCGACGCTGAGCACCATGGCTGATGCTGCTCGTAAAAAAAAAATCGACTAAAAGATGCCGAAGCCTGGATTCAGTATAGCTGTGCAAGACAGCGAAAGCAGCAAGGTGCTGCAGGCGTGGATGTCAAAAGAAACTGGAAATGTTCGCAATACAGGATTTACAGAAACAGAATGTCTTCTGGAGAATTTACGACGCTAGATTCTCCACGACGATGATGATGTTCCAGAATACCAGCACATTCAGGCACTGAGCAGCACAAGGACATGCCATTGCCTTGCGGTTGTGCTAGGTTGAAATGGATTGGTTCTGGTTGGGTGGGCTGTGCCTGATGAGGTGTTCGCTGCTTGCTTGTTCTCCGCAGATTCTCTGCTTCCTCCTGATCCCCCCTCCTTTCTCGGTCCGCTCTTGCCTTCTGCGCTAAACTTTCCCCCCTTCCGCCCGACCAGAATCTAGGAGATGCCCTCGAGAGTTCCGCGACAGAAGCTACACCGCGGTGAGCCGATTTGTGCCATCCTGCCTACGAGGCAATGCGCGCGGGCGTTCGCGCACCATCCCCCTGCGTTGACTCCATGTTCCGCGCCACCAGCTGCCATGGCGCTGGGAGGCAGTTCCCTGCCGCAGCCGCGCATTGTAGCCTCCGTTGCCCTGTCAGCACTTTCAGCAAGAATAGAGGAGCGGATCTTGGCCCCCTTGTCGCATAAGCGAGTTTTGATTGGTAGCACGTCATCCATGTCCCATCAGCTTTGGGGGGATATTGGGCCGCTTTCCACGACATCTGGGATGCCGCTACCTGACGTGGGGATCCTTGCCCGTGGAGGAGAAATATCTACCAAGGAGAAATCTCAATTACCCTATTACACTTCGAATTACTGACATGTTAGGCGAACTTAAAAAACAGATGAGGAAGCTGTTTCGGTTTGTTATACCTGACAGAAGGTGCTGCTGGTGAAGCTGAGAATGCCCACTTACTGTAATTAGAATCTAGGCAAATCGAGGGGGATATATGGCCTGTATTCGTGCGTATCCTTCCATTCATACTGTGCCACAGGAACCTCCTTCATGCCTTCCCATTAATCATGCCATCTAACAGAGGGAAATGTAAAGGACCTCTGTTATAATTTAGCCTGGCTCCTAGTTTTCATAACGGCATCATAAAAAGGCATCAAGCAAGAACCTTCCTCCAAGACGAGTCCCCTTTGCTTAAGCCAACATGCTACAATCCATCTGCTGGGCCCTGACCTGAGGAGGTCAGCTGCTCAAACCACTAAGCTGGATTGCATATTTCGATTGCCGAGGTAAGCCTCTACAAGCGCAACATCCTCCTCCTTTCGCTTTTTATACACTCCGTAACGAACAAAGAAATAGTCCATGTAGTCAAAATCAATGGCTGAGTACTTGGCCTGTGGGGTGGGGACGCATGGGGTACACACAATGCAGGGTAGAGGGAAGCATGCACAAGTAATAGCACAACCGCAGTTAAAAATCAAAGAGAATCTTAACAGGGTTGTATATCCAAGGTAAAAGTGGTTTAGAATCAAGGCACTACTCAAACATGCGTTCTTATTTCCCTATTTCCCCACCCCTAGAAAGTATTACCAGTGGACACTGGTGGAAAAAGGTACGGGCGAGATATTCACAAAAAGGCACTGCAGTACCTGAATGAGGGACCAGAGGCACCAGAAGAAGTGAGAGGCAAGAGTGAACGCGTTCACCTCCAGATACAGCCTGTCCAGTTCCTCCTGCGAGGCCTGCCATGCAGCAGAAATAGGGGGAGCAGGGCCTTATCAAACCTAGGAAGAACATCGCTAGGAGGGGAGCACTGACTGGATGAACGCATTCACCTCCAGATACAGCCTGTCCAGTTCCTCCTGAGAAGCCTGGCAGAGAAAGAATCGAAGCCACAGAGGGAGAGCGATGACAAAAAAAGTATGAACACATTTCCCTCCAGTTAAAGCCTGTCCAGCTCCGCCTGAGAGGCCCAGATAAAGCCTGAGAGGCACAGATAAAGCCTGAGAGGCCCAGATAAAGCCTGAGAGGCCCAGATAAAGCCTGAGAGGCCCAGATAAAGCCTGAGAGGCCCAGATAAAGCCTGAGAGGCCCAGATAAAGCCTGAGAGGCCTGCCATGCAGCGCAAATGCAATGAGTAGGAGGGAAGAAGCGGCACAGAAGGTGCCATCAGTCATTGAAGGGAGGAGGGTGAACAAAATCTTGTTCAGATACAGCTGTTTCAGTGGACGCACTGACTGAATCAGAGTCATTGCATTCACCGCCAGATACAACCTGTCCTGATATGCCTGAGAGGCACAGCACGTGCCATGCCATGATGTGGCTCAAGATATTTGGCACTGAGATGTAGCAGTGTTTTGAGACGTTTCAAAACACTTCTGTTTTCACGTAGTATCAGGTGGAAGGAAAATTGCACCCGTGTTGCTCTCACCTCCCTCCCACATCCCTCCCATCTCTCCATTTGTCACCTTTTCAGGAGCGGTGGGGTGCAGATAATGGCGAAAGAAGTCCAGCTGATGGGCCTTGGAGGGGAACCTGGGGGGGGATGGAGAGTGAGGGATAGACGAGGGCGGCGAGGGGGGGAGAGGGATGACGCAGAAGAAAGAGATGAACGGGTGGGTGGGATGGAAGATTGGTGAAGTGAATAGGTGCGGGGGGAGGTAGTGGTGGAATCAAGTCCAGCTGGTGGGGCAAAGAGGGGCAAAGAGGGGCAAAGAGGGGCAGAGAGGGGCAAAGAGGGGCAAAGAGGGGCAAAGAGGGGCAAAGAGGGGCAAAGAGGGGCAAAGAGGGGCAAAGAGGGGAAAAGAGGGGAAAAGAGGGGCAAAGAGGGGAAAAGAGGGGCAAAGAAGGGCAAAGAGGGGCAAAGAGGGGCAAAGAGGGGCAAGGAGGGGCAAAGAGGGGCAAAGAGGGGCAAAGAGGGGAAAAGAGGGGCAAAGAGGGGAAAAGAGGGGCAAAGAAGGGGCAAAGAGGGGAACCTGGGGAGGGGACGGAGAGGGGGGCAAGGGGAAGGTGAGAGAATGCAAGGGATCAGGGGAGAAGGAGCAACGTTCAGGGTTTAGGGTTTGGAGATGGATGGTGGGGATGAAGTGTGTCTGAACTGAATTTAAAGGCGGACCTGACGTGCACCCGAACTGAAACACGACCAGTTGGCATTTGGAAGGAATAACATCATATTCCTGTCTAAAGATCAGTGCACAAGAACTGCTACAAGAGGTGCTACAGACCTGTGAGATCTATAACAGCAATCAGGTGTCACTCCCATCCCAAGCAACACTCAGCACCTGTATTATACCTTTCTATGACATCTCAACTTGAACGGGCGCCCATCATATCGTCTCTCCTTGCATTTACCCACCTGGAGTATTCGCACTCGAAGCCGGCATATTCACAGAAGTGGTTTGCAATGTCGTAGCCCCGAGGGTTGTACGCCGCATACTCAAAGTCAATCATGTGCATTATGGGGGCGCCTGCATGCATGCACACGGGGAATCAGAGGAGCATCGCATGTGCATTGCAATGAGAATGTCGTTCCCCTGAGGGTTGTACGCCGCGTACTCAAAGTCAATCATGTGCATTATGAGGGCGCCTGCACACAGGGCATCAAGGGAACATGGAAAGGAGATGTCACATCAGCAGATGCCATGGCATGGCATGGTGGTGACCTCAACACTGGCATGGTACATGGCATGGTGACGTCACCATCGGTATGTGCTTGTGTCATACGTTATTGCATGTTACCCCAACATTGCCACACGCTACCATGGCGATGCCACCCACCACATTACCACCATTTGACCACCAGGCAGGTAATCACATGTTACCACTTGTTACCGCACAGTATCTACCTGGTTGTGACTCATCCAGCAGCAGATTGTAAGCGAGGAGGTCGTTATGGGCAAAGACGACGGGTGAGTGCAGTCGGTCCGTCAGCTCCTGGTGGGTGTGATGGAGAGTGGCATGGCGTGGCATGGCATGGCATGAGTACGAGTACTTAAAGACATTTGGGGCGTAAGCAAGGAGGTCGTTATGGGCAAAGACAATGGGCGAGTGCAGTCGGTCCGTCAGCTCCTGGTGGGTGTGATGGAGAGTGGCATGGCAGGGCATGGCATGGCATGGCATGGCATGGGCGAACAATCATGTGTTTTTGATTATTAGGAGTCGCAGAAGGCATGCATGCATGAAGGCAAGGCACTGCAAGGTCCTTGCGGGCGGGCCAACACAATGGACGAGTGCAGACAGACGGTCTATCAACTCCTGGTGGGCGTGAGGGAGAGAGTGACATGGCATTTGGTATGTATGAAGTTTGGCAAGTCTTGAAGGCTATTCATGTACGTGAAGAGGTTGTTGTGGGCACAGACAATGGGCAAAGGCTATTCCCATCACACACCTTTGCTTCTTGTATCTCGCTTCTCAACTTGGCAAAGTCAATGGAGTCAAAGCGGGTTTGCAGCTTCGGGTCATGGTATTTAAGCTTCTCGGCTGAAGGCGCTCTGACCGGGAATGGGGGCAGGCAATAACGGATACAAACAAACCAGCACAGCATGGTGGGGAAATCTCGGTCAGCGGATGCGAAAGAACCAATCTCTGATGACGACGACGACGACAACAACGCGCCAACTTTGACGATCAGTTTTGAGGCGCCTCAGAACTTGATGATTGCAACACAACAACAGAGACCAACAAGATCCTGGAGTGATGTTTTTGTCATCACAGGCCGATTCACCGATGGAGAGCAATGGAATCGGTGCAGAGAAACAAGATCCTGGAATGTCAGGCGCTGGCGTCTACAGCGCTTCAGGATCTGATGATTTAATCTGATCTGATCATGATCATCATGATGCCGGTGGATCGATACAGAGCAGCAGGCGACCAGCACACATCAAAGTGTCCAGCACACATCAAAGTGTCCAGCACACAATGGCAAGCACCCACCAGTATGGCGCACGTCAAACAGCGCATGCCACAGGTGGCCCTCCCTGCACTCCTCCTCTGCCCCCGGCACCAAAGCACCAAGCACGCACCACCAGTGCCAGCACCCACACCAGTAGTACCTACCAAGGCAAAGCACCCACCAGTGTCGAGCATGTCAAACAAGGCGTGCCACAAGTGCCCTTGCTTCCGCTCCTCCTCTGTCCCCAGAGGCACGTGCAGATGGTGCAGGCGGTGCAGCTGTGCCGCTATCAGGTGTGACAATGGCGGGGTGCACATCTCTGCAGCATGGGGGGTTGGGGCACGAGGTGCACGTGAGTGCGTGGCAATGCAGGGTGCGTGGGGAGGGAAGGGATCAGGATATGGAATGGCAGGGACGTATGGGCACCTCCTGATACTGCAGGCGGTGCAGCTGTGCCGCTACTGTGCCGCTACTGTGCAGGCGGTGCAGCTGTGCTGCCATTGTCACACCTACACCTCCTGTGCCGCTATCGGGTGTGACAATGGCAGGGCAGGAGGGAGACACATCTTTGCGTGGAGGATGGGGAGAGGGGTGTGCGTGGGATACACGGAGTGGGGAGGGGGAGCATGGGAGGGGGGCGAGGGCAGAAGGAGGGAAAGAGTGCGCATAGATTGGGCATACATACCTGGTCGATTGCAAGCATACCGGGTGGGGTGAGTGTGCGGCCAGGCAAGTATATCTGCACAGTTCCGTTGGCGAAGCTCCCTATCAGGCGAGGCCCGAAGTTCGCTGTTGACAACACCTTGAGTGCTTGACGCGCAATTGAATAGAAGCGTATACCAAGGCCTTGACAGGGCATACAGGGTGGGGTGAGCGTGCGGCCAGGCAGGTACATCTGCACGGTTCCGTTGGTGAAGCTCCCTATCAGGCGAGGCCCGAAGTTCGCTGTTGACAATGCCCTCAGTGCCTGACAGGACAACTTTTGATTAGGTAAAAATAGAACATACCTGGAGGGGTGAGTGTGCGGCCAGGGAGGTAAGTCTGCACAGTTCCGTTGGTGAAGCTCCCAATCAGGCGAGGCCCGAAATTTGCTGTTGACAACGCCCTCAGTGCCTGACAGGGCAGAAGTGGGGGTGGTGTAAGGTGGTGTGCAGTGGTGTGGCATGGTACGGTGTGGTTTGGTGTGGTTTGGTGCAGTGTGGTGTAGTGTGGTGAGATGTGGCATAGTGTGGGATGGCATGCACATGCCCATACCCATTCCTGTGCCCATGCCATAAACATGTCCATCCCATGCCCATGCCCATGCCCATGCCCATCCCATGCGCATGCTCAAGCCTGTACCCATGCCCATGCCCCTGCCCATGCCCATGCCCATGCCCACCTCACCTCCCACTCTCTGCTCCGGTTGATGATTTTGTCTGTATCTGGCCCATAGATGCGCACAGTGATTGCCTCTGATTGGCTGCTGCCTCCCCTTTTTTCGGATGACGGCTCCCCGTTTTGGTCGTTCCCTTTTCCTTCCTCCTCCTGCTGCTGCTCCTGACTCTGGCTTAGATTCGCTTGCTGCACTTTGAATACTGCCGATACAGGGAAAGCAGGCCCAAACAAATGAAAAAAAAAATGTCTTCACTGTACACGTTGAAGGAGGAATCCCAGAGAAATAAGGGTTAGAATCCACTAAGAGGAATGAAAGGACCATATGGATGGGGAGGGGCGGAGGGCGGTAGGGGGAAAGGGGCGCGGAAATCGATGTTGCCTTTTTGAGTTGCTGAGTTCCTAGTATGCAATGCTGCCGATTAAGGACGTCCTTAGACTCACTCAGGTTGGTGATGCCGCCCGAGATGGTGGAAACCTGCAGCTCTTTCTCCTGCACATGCTGCCACGCTGGCATGAGCCTGCGTGCAATGTCCCTGGGGAGGGGGGAAGGGGAAGAGAGAGAGATGATGGGACGCGGCTAACGGTGAAACCTGCAGCTCTTGCTCCAGCAGCTGTGGGGGATGCGGGATTACACAAGGCTTGTTTAATAACGGTGCACAGGCAAGGCAGCTGCTGATTGGCCTACTCAAGGAAGGATCAGGCTGTCAAGGCGGCGTGCATTTTGCTACGCGTGTGGTAGCCCGAGTGCTATGACTGCATGTAATGACTGCGTTCTAAAGACCGAAGCGGGGAATACAAGGCGATTATGCGATTTTCTTAGAGCACCTGACATTCCACCTGGAATAATCACCTGAGGCTCCGCGTATGAGCACCTGACAGCCTACCTGACGGCTTTCGTGTCGACACTGACGTCCAATACAGGCAGGCTCGCACTCGATGGCTTCGACGACGGACGTAGAACAAGGACCAAATCGAATCCTTCTTCTACATATGTCCCTGACGGCCTACCTGACGGCTTTCTCCTTCTCTTCCACAGAGCTACCCGGATCGATAGTGACGTCCAATACAGGCAGGCTCGCACTCTCCGCCATTGAATGGCCGACGGAGGGAGAGGAAGGACGAAATAAAATCAGGGAAATTGCTTGCGGATTTCTAAGAGCCACGCGAAAGAAACCAGGGGAAGCCAATTTCTACCTTCTGCCTACTTTTAGAAGCACTGGTAGTGCTTCAATTCTCCTTCACTGAGGGGACGAACGGTTTGTGTCTAGCAGTGACAAACGAAGGCTTTCCGTTTGCGAAGCGAACTCTGCTGACGAAAAGGTCGGCTGGATCTTGGTGAAACATCGTGTGTCACTGCTAGACATTTTTCCTAGGGAAAGTACATCCCAGCTCCTGTGTTTCAGATTTCTCTCATATTTAGCTCCAGGTTCACTAAAAAAGTACGACTTTCTGGAAGTTTGCTCACGCGAGGCCCAGATTATGTTCAAAACTGGTCCTGCGGGAATTTTTTTTTTTTCGACACGTGTCCAATTCGCATTAATTTTTTTCGAAGGGTGCAAAAAATATAAAACCCCTCGGGAACCAGGACACATTTGCGGGACGGATCAACCCTAAACACCTAGCGGGTCCCCGTGTTGAGGGTTGATCCCTCCCGAAAGTGTGTCCTGGTTCCCTAAGGGGTTTCTAGTTTTAACCCGTTCGAAAAAAATCTGACGCAAAAATGGACACGTGTCGAAATTTTTGCCCCGCAGGACCAGTTTTGAACATACTTTGGGCCTCGCATGAGAGAAATCCCACAAAATCATGCTTTTTGAGTGAATCTGGGGCTAAATATGAGAGAACTCCGAAACACAGGAGCTGGGATGTACTTTCCCTTTTTCCTATCAGCAAAAAACGACGGGAGGACAGTGGCGAAAGAACACAAGTATTTCTTTTTGCATATGTTACAGCTTTTCGCGAACCCAGCCAGCCACTTCCATAACATTAGTGGAGCTTGACATTTCCTTCGCAACCTCGAGAATTACGGGGCTACCAACAATGCGGAAGGACAGAGAGAACAATTGCCTCGAGCAATCCCGAAAATTACGCAATACGGGTTTTAAGCTACAGCTCCTGAGATTTTTAGACAAAACCCAGAACCTAATCCCCTCTCTTCCCACCATTCCTATTCCTCAGTCGACTCGCGTGAGACTCTTTCAGACGATACCCGGCATTTGGTGATTAACCGACACTGATTGTTCGCATTATCTGCTGCGGCTGCAGCTTCCTTTGAATCTCCTTCGTAATACTTCCAACCGACTTGATTTTCCTTCTCACCTTCGAGGGAGCGTCGCAATGATAAAGCGTCGCGACTATCGCATGCTTCATCAAGAAGACGGTCTCGCGGCCGCCTCCAGCGACGACTCGAGCTCGTCGAGCGACGACGACGACAATGTCGCCTCGTCAGGTGGGCGACTGAGGCTAAACTCAAGGGTCGTGCGGCATGAAACCAAGCCGGCCGTATGTCCGGAATAGACGGCTCTCCGACGAACGTGTTTTTGTTCATTTTGGGGTTTAAATTCGACTCAAATCGCATCTCGCGGGTCCTGGAGCCTACATTTCGTGGTCAGGGAGCTGGTTCCCTGCTTTCTTGCTTCCCTGCTTTCTTGCTTCCCCGCTTCTCTGCTTTCCTGCCTTTCTGCTTGCCTTGGCACTTCTCACCACGGCTGTCAAAATTGTGATCTGCTTGTTATAGGGAATGCCTCAGACGACGTCCTTCCTCTCACCCTCCACCCCCTCTCACCCTCCGCCCCTCTCAACCCCTCTCTCACCGCTCTCATCCTCCCTCCCTCTGTCTTCGCCTGTCCCCTCCTGCGAGTACAGAGGAAGATCAGGAGGTGCAGGGGGGTGGTGGGGACAGCGAGGAGGGAGAGAGTGGGAGAGGTGAAAGTGAGAGTGACTCAGAGGAGTCGGAGGAGGAGGGGGGAGGAGCAGTTGGGGTGTCTTCTCAGTGGGAGGAGCTTGTTTCTGAGGAGGAGAGGGAGAGAGAGGAGGAGAAACGGAGGAAGAAGAGGAGGAAGAAGGGGCGGAAGAGTGGGAGCAGTGACAGTGATAGCAGCACAAGTGACGACAGCAGTGACGGAGGGGAGGAGGGAGAAGAGGATGGGGAGGAAGATGAGGAAGAGGAGGGAGAGGAGGGAGAGGAGCGGGGGGAGGAGGAGGGTGGCAAAGCAGGGAAGCGAAAGAGGAAAGGCCAGCGGGAGGGGGAGGCATTTAAAGACATGGATTTTGGGGAGGGGGGAGAGATGGTGGTGAGAGTGGTGGGGCAGGGAGGAGGGGGTGTGCTGCGGTGCAGAGTGTGCCCTCGAGTGCTCTGTGTGAACAGTGACAACATGAAGAAACACCTGGCGTCCAAGGTAACCTGAAATAGCACCTCCCTTTGGAGGAGGAAGTGCCCCCGAAACCCCAAACCCCAAACCCCAACGCTGCCCTGCGCCACGCCAGCCAACTTCCTTCCATGCTTCGCTGAAGTGGGATGACAGGGCAGGCGAGAGCTGCCCATGGTGGTGAACAGTGATGGGCCTTGCGGGGAGTCTATTTTTTAGGCACCTCAAAAATAGAGTTGCAGGTGGTGGTGGGGAACAGCGATGGGACTCTGGGGAGTGTCAAAGCTGCTTACATCCCAGTGTTGCCTCCTCCCTTCCTCTCTCACATGGGCCCATGCCCACACCCCACCTCCTCCCGTTCTCCACCCTCCCCCCACACACAGAACTCGTGGCAATGGCTAGGCGGCATATGAGAGGCGAGCCTCAGATGGTGATGAACAGCAATGCGCCAGTGCCGAGTGTCAGGGGTTGATTTGTGTACAAGCGTACCTATTCTTCTCCCCCAAACCACCCATTCCCCGTCTTCCTTCCTCCTGAGCGTCCCTGCAGAAACACGTGGCAGCGGTGGGGAGGCATGGGAGGGGTGAACTGCAGGTGGTGGTGAAGTAGGGTTTTTTTTTAGAATTCTCATTGGGGAGACCCACGCTCATTGGGAAAACCCTACAGCATCGTGGTGGTGAACAGCGATGGGGAGGTGAGGGCCATTGGGGAGACCCACGCTGAGCGATGGCTGTTGAGTCAACTCAAAAGTCACCCCGTGCCTGCCCTCCCCCCCATCAGAAACACGTGGCAGCTGTGGGGAGGCATGAGAGGGGCGAGCTACAGGTGGTGGTGAACAGCGATGGGGAGGTGGAGGCCATCGGGGAGACCCACGCTGAACGTTTCGAACGCACCAAAGCTGCCGCCGCCGCCGCTGCTGCCGATGCTGCTGCTGCTGCAGCTGCGGCGGCGGCGGCAGAATCTGCTGCTGCTACACCTGCTGGTGCTGGTGCTGGTGCAGGGGGGAGCAAAAAGCAGAAGGGGGATGGTGGAAGGCAGAGGCAGCAGCGCCGGAAGCAGCTGCAGCAGCAGAAGAAGAAGAAACTGAGTGCTGCTGGTGCTGCTGGTGGTGACTCACCTGCTGCTGCTGCTGCTGCTGCTGCTGCTGCTCCTGCTGGTCGTGGTGGTGGTGTGGCTGGGGCGCCTAGGGTGCCCAGGACCCCTGGGGAAGCAGCTAGGTCAGGAAAGGTCAAGAAGGGTGGAGCTGCAAAGGCGAGTGGTGGTTATGCAAGCCCGAGTGGCACTGCTCCACGATCGTGTGAAGGTGCTGCTGCTGATGGGAGTGGTGTTGGTGGTGCTGGCGACAAGCGTAAAAAAGGGAGGAAGGTGAAGGATTCAGTGAAGGGGTTGGGGCAGGGAGAAGGGTCTGCAGCACTGCGAGCAACATTGACTGGGAAGAGAAGTGCTGAAATGGGTGCTGGCAAGGAGGGAGAAAAAGGCATGGAAGGAGTTAAGAGGGGAAATGGAGAAGGGAGAAAAGCAGGTAAAGGGAAAAGAAGAGCAGGCAAGAGTACATAGTGGCAGGAAAAGTTGCTGATTTGTTACACATGTATGCTAATTCTCGGGAGTGGTTGAAGTTTCTTGGCTCTTTTCATTGAAAGCATTCGTAGTTGTTTTGTAGCAATACAATGTTCATTACGTTTCTAAACCTTGTCTCTCAAAATCGGGTACGATAAGCATGTGAATTCGCGTCACACGAGGTATATCAACAAATGTGAGACCTGTCTTCGCTCCGCACGGCGCGTGATTTCGTTTGCTTCTCTGTAGAGACGTCTCTAGAGTCAGCTCTCGTGTGAATCGTGTGTCAAGAGAGCGACGCGGTCGCTAAATAGTTGAAGCTGACGGTTACTAACAGGAACCACGCCGCTTTACCATAAGATTTTCCAAAAGCGAAAAAAGACGCGCAAACAGGGAACAAGCGTGGTCCAATGTTCATCCAACACGTGGCAGCACTGTCGAAGCGCCGGATCGTTCTCGCGTCGGCATCCCCTAGGCGACGCGAATTGCTGTCAGGCCTGGTAGGTGGGCCTAGGCTACGGCGGGGCGATAGGGACTTCCCCCCCTTACCCCGCCTCTTTTTTTCAACCTTTCCCGCCGCTTTCTCTCCCCCTTTCCCCGCCTCTTCCGCTCTCGTTGCTCCCAGGGGCTAACTGTTGACGTTATTCCGAGCACGTTTAACGAGGACCTCAATAAAGCAGCATTCGCCAGCGCAGGAGGTATGCCACAGCACCACCTCGGTCTTTACCCTCCCAACCCCCCTTCATTGCCAATGCCAGAGCAGCAGTGCTGCTCCCCCCTTGCTTGTGGCTTCCCGATCTTCCCGATCTTCCCGATCTTACTGATAAACTGCTCAGCGTCTCCTTATCCCTTCGCCTGCATGCCCTTCCCCTTCTTTTGGGTCAACTCAAAGGCCCTACTTGTTTGTTTGCTGCAACACATCCCCCTCATCCACCTTCCCGCCTTCCATCTCCCCACTTGCAGCAGAGTCAGCTACCCCCAAAGCCATAGATAGGCCCTTCTTCATCTCCCTCCCCATATCTCCGAGTATTCCCAAAAGTTATTTCCTCTCATCCGTCTCCCCGCCTCAAGTTCCACTGGCAGACTATGCAGCAGAGATTGCCTCGCACAAGGCCATAGGTGACTTTTGAGTCGACTCAAAAGTCACCTCGTTACTATGGCACTGGCAGACTATGCAGCAGAGATTGCCTCGCACAAGGCCATAGAAGGCACCTTCTCATCCCCCTTCAGACATTCCATCGCAAGCCTTTCATTTACGTCTCTTTCCTCATCCCCCTCCCCTCCTTCCATCTCCCCCCCACTGGCAGACTACGCAGCAGAGACGGCCACGCACAAGGCCATAGAAGTTTCTTCCAAAGCCCTTCGTGATGCTCAGGTGTGTGATGCTCAGGTGTGTGATGCTCAGGTGTGTGATGCTCAGGTGTGTGATGCTCAGGTGCATGCTTCCCAGGTGCATCCTCACCCCACCATTCCATACTCATCACCATCCCACAGAGTCAATCCCGTATCAATAGATGCGTAAAATCGATGCTCCAACCCACTCCCATGCAGGTAATTTTTTAGGCACCGGAAAAGCACCTCACCATCCTATACTCATCACTGTTGCACACAATCAATGCTCCAACTCACTCACAATTATTCTCCTTGCACGTCCTCACTCGCTTGCGCCTCCCCACTCGCTTGCGCCTCCCCACTCGCTCGCGCCTCCCCACTCGCTCGCGCCTCCCCACTCGCTCGCATCTCCCCACGCATTTGCTCCCATTCTCTCTGCGCATGTTGCGTTCAGGCGACTGGGGAAGCCCCACCAACGCTCGTGATTGCTGCCGACACTGTGGTGGAGATTGATGTGAGTGATTGCGGAGGGGTGTGAGTGGGTGTGGAGAGGTGTGAGTGGGTGAGGAGAGGTGGGATGGGAGAAATGTGAGTGCGCCAGTGGAAGAGGCGCCACCAACGCTTGTGATTGCTGCCGACACTGTGGGGGAGATAGATGTGAGTGGGTGGGTGGGTGGGTGCCACGCACCACTCCCAGTAGATGTGGATGTAGAAAAAGGCAAGAAGCTAAGTATCTGTGCTGGGGATGGATAGGTGGGTGAGTGTACGAATGTACGAATGGTGCGTGGCTGAATGTACGAAGAGTGGGTAAATCAGTACTTTCCACCTGAGTGTGCCCATTCGTATATTCACCCGACATGACTTCTCAATAAGGAATAATACCTTTATACGAGTCATCTTATCAAAGCACAGTCTTGTAGCATGTATGTCAATTTCACCTTGTGACATAGTCTTCAACCATGCAAGTTTCCCATCTTTCCATCAACTAATCACCTCACAAGCTGCTTTTCAATCCATTCATGTTCTCCTTTTCAGGGTGAGCTTTTAGAGAAGCCGGTTTCTAAGGAGGATGCAATCCGCATGCTTTTGCTCCTATCAGGTACCGCCCTTCGTGTTCTTTCAGTCCCCCAACACAGCACCCCCATGGGCCCTGTTGTTTCCCCAACACCCCTATTACCCTGTTAATAACTCATCACCCCCCCATCATCCCCTCATCATTCCCCCATCACTCAACCATTCTCCACACACCACCCCCATCATCCCCCACAGGCCGCAAGCATCGGGTTTTCACGGGAGTGGCTCTTGTGCTGCCAGCTGTCACCGGTACGTCCTGCCAGCTGTCACTAGTACGTCCTACCTTCTTCTAGTGCAGTTATGTGAATCACGGCACAACCGATTATTGTGATTGATGTTATAAATAATTAATACGTTGTTCTTTAATACCAAATTATGTTCTCAATATTGAGGAAAGCGCTGAGTTACCCGATGCACGCTTTTTACTCCTGCTGCAAAGCTTGTCTGTCACAGCACCCTTACTCACTGCGGGGATGGGACACAATGGCCTTCTTTCGACCCGAAAGGGCGAGTGGAAGGTGTACTTGTAGCCGGGTGACAGGTAAGTACAACATTCCCAAATGTTCGTTCCACCCAGCAAGGTATGGGATCGAATGTTAGGTGATGGGAATATGCTCGAATTGGAAAATCATGAGTACAACTTGGTTGGGAAGGTGTCAGAGGTGGGCCATGTATTTTTGGGGGCGTGAACTTCCGACAGCCCATGCGTCCATCTCACCGCACCCAGTTTGAAGCGGCGGCCAAATTGGGCAAGACCTGCCTATCTGGAGTGGTTGGAGGTAGTGAACGCTCTGTCAACCGTGACAGAGGAGAGCATGGCAACAGTTTTGTCCTCATGCAGCATGTTCTCCTCTGTTACGGTTGACAGAGCGTTCACCACCTCCAACCATTCCAGATAGGCAGGTCTCTTGCCCAACTTGGCCGCCGCCTCAAACTGGGTGCGGTGAAATGGACGCATGGGCTGTCGGAAGTTCACGTCCCAAGAGTACATGGCCCACCTCCGACACCCTCCCAACCAAGTTGTACCCCTCAAGATTTTCCAATTCGAGCCGATCCCCACCACCTGACATTCGAAACCCATACCTTGCCGGGTAGAATGAGCAGTTGGGAATGTTGTACTTACCCGTCACCCCGACTACAGGTACACCTTCCACTCGCCATTTCTAGTCGAATGAAGGCCTCCATTGTGTCCCATCCTTACTCTCCCTGCAAAACCTCATCTTCGCACTCTCTGCCTATGCTCTCTCTGCTGCAACTTACCCCCCTCTAGCTACCCTCTCCTCGCTCTCTCCAATTTCCCTCCCCCACATACCTCCCCTGCCCCATCTTAAATTTTAACAGACCCTCTGATTGGCCGATCGCCTCTTCTCCGCTCTTTTCACGAGTGCACTCAGGTGTGTTAGCATTCAGGCATGTGCCCTGTTGAGCCCTGTCCTATTCCCCATTCGTGACTTTTTTAAGTCCCCTCAGTGCGTTGCACTCTGGCATGCGCTATTCCTATACCCATTTTTCACGACATATTAGTTGACTCGAAAGTCACCTCGGTGCGTTAGTACATCTTCATAACCCATTGCAAGCGCACCCAGGTGCGCTTGGCATGAAATAAACCATCTATACGCTCTCTGTTCTTCATGGCTTTTGGCATGGCACAGGCCGTTCCTCTCACAAGTGCACTCCAAGATTCACATCATTGTCCCTAGCGGAGATTGCGGCGTATGTGGTAACAGGCCATTCCATGAACATACAGGGGAGATTGAGTTCCAATGCTCCCCAACCCTACCTACCCATCACACTCCCCACCCTCTTACACTGCTTCCATCTCTTGGCAGGTGGAGCTTGCATCATCGTCACGGGAGGAGATTGAGGCATATGTGAGAACAGGCGAGTCCGTGGGCAAGACAGCGGGTGCCATGCTCCCCAGCACCCTCATTCTCCCCACCACCCCCTCACACTCCCTCTCTTTCCCCAACAGGTTGAGTTTGCAGCGCTGTCTCGAGCGGGGATCAAGGCGTATGTAAGAAAGGGAGAGCCCATGGACAAGGCATGGGTGTACCGTGTTCCCCAGCTCTCCCCTTTTGAGGCGCCTCACAAGGCATGGGGGTACCATGCTCCCAAGCTCTCCCCTTTCGCCCACCTAACCCTTCAAACTCCCTCTCTTTCCCCAACAGGTGCAGCACTGTCCCAAGCAGAGATAGAGACGCACGTGAGAATTTTGAGAATTTTCAAACGTTTGCAGCGCTGTCCCAAGCAGAGATAGAGACGTACGGGGGAACAGGCGAGCCATGGACAAGGCCGGGGTTTCCATGCTTCCCAGTTATCCTCACCCTTTTCACCCTCCTAGCCCCTCACACTCCCTCTCTCTTCCTCTTACAGGTGGAGTTTTCATCATTGTCCCAAGCAGAGATCGAGGTGTATGTGGGGACAGGCGAGCCCATGGACAAGATTGAACTTCCCCCCCCCCCCCCCCTTTTTTTTTTTTTTTTTTTTTTTTTTTTTTTTTAAATCTTATAAATCTTCCCTGCTGTCACGCTCCCTCTCCATCACCCACAGGTTGAGTTTGCATCATTGTCGCAAGCGGAGGTCGAGGCTTATGTGGCAACAGGCGAGCCCATGGACAAGGCGGGGGGGTACGGCATTCAGGGGCTGGGGGGGTGTCTGGTGAAGGCGATCAACGGGTGCTACTTCAACGTCATGGGACTGCCTCTTAACAGGTAGTGATTATAACGAGTTGTGAGTGAAACAGAGAGAGATAGCCACTGCAGAAGGCAGGGGCGTAAGGAAATTCGAAGGCGGCTGGGGGGTGCTGGGGGCTGCTGGGGGGTGCTGGGGGGTGCTGGGGGGTGCTGGGGGGTGCTGGGGAGTGCTGGGGTGCTGGGGGGTGCTGGGGGGTGCTGGGGGGTGCTGGGGTGCTGGGGGTGCTGGGGGTGCTGGGGGGTGCTGGGGGGTGCTGGGGGGTGCTGGGGGGTGCTGGGGGTGCTGGGGTCTGCTGGTGATCAGCGAGTGCTACTTCAACGTCGTATGACGGGTGCTCCACAGGTCGGGATTCTATCAGTAAGTGATTATATCGGGTTGTTCAATGAACGTTACTTATTGCTATGGGAGTGCCACTTTATAGGTAGAGAGTATACCATGTAGTGATTCTATCGAGGTGTTGTACATGTTGTTTTTCAAGATTAATGCCGCTCCATGGGTAATGATTATAGCATGGAATGAGTGTATCGAGTGGTGATTGTATTGGGATCACTGGTAGTCATGGGACTGGTCATTCAACAGGTAGCAATCCTGCAAGTAATCCATATTTCGAGTGGTGTACATTTTGGTCCTCTTTAATGTAATGGGACTGTCGGCTCAACAGGTACGGTAGTGATGTTGCAGGTAATAAACATACTGAGTGGTGTTCATTTCAGTCCTGCTTTAATGTAATGGGCTCGACAGATAGTGATATTGCAGGTAATAAACGTGCTTAGTGGTGTTCATTTCAGTCCTGCTTTGATGTAATGGGCTCAACAGATAGTGATTTTGCAGGTAATAAACGTATGGAGTGGTGTACATTTCGGTCCTGCTCTAATGTCATGGGACTGTCTGCTCAACAGTGAGTGTTTATAACGAGTTGTGACTACATGGATGCTACTCGTCTGCGAGGAGGAGGTGGGATTGTGGCCTGACAGGGAGTGTTCATAACAATTGGTGACTGCATTGGTTAGTGTTCATAGCAGGTGGTGATTATCACGAGTGGTGACACTATGGGTGTTACTCAGTGTATGATTGTTTTTCCAACCATTTGTTTTTTTTTTTTTTTTGCAGCTAAGGTTTCTTTTTCTGCAGCCCATAAGAAAGTACATGTCTAAATAAAATTCCAGTGCGATGGCAAATCTTCCCCAAATTTCCTATCTACTGTGCTTCCAACCTTCCTCCTCTCCTTTCTGTTCCGCAGGCTCGCATCAGAAATAGACCAACTTATCACTTCAAAACTTATCAATTTAGATGTATGAAATGCACTGTTCGTGACGAGTGTTGTCCGTCTCGAAAACAATAATACCTTGTGGTCTTCATGTAGTTATGAAAAAGCCTTACCGCTGGTGGCCAATTGGCTGCCTTGTAATATTTAGAAGAAAAGAACTAGTTTCTGGCACATGAAGTTTCACAATATGTGCTCTACATTACTTATCGATTTGTATCATATCCGCACTCGAGTATAATCCTTCTGATTTCGTATTCTACGAACTTGTAAGGAATTTCACTAATTCCTTACTGAGGCATCTCTTACGCGTACAATTCCAACTTTCGGAATTCAGGCTCGGTCCGTCGACCTCGCCTTCCGAACGTCTCCCGCGTCGCCTTCGGATTTCCCAACCCCAAACCTGCACCCAACCTTCGCGCGACTCCGCGACCTCGGCCTAGCTAGCTGTGCTATATTATGCCTAGGCCTCGTTGTTTGCTCAGTAGTTGTAATCACTTCCGCGATATTGCATTCTGCGCACTCTTCTTTCTACAACTCATAACACTTGGTATCATAGCTACTTTCCTAGGTTACCCTCCACTTTCCGGGGTAGTTTTAGTGCAGGGGTGCAATAGGTTTGGTGGGCTGCAAAGCGGTCGGCTGAGAGATAGATACGATTATCTCGCTCCGACTAATAGCGTTTGCGCCTTCATCAAAACCATAAAAATCGTTGTTAACCCGCTGCCCGCTAGGATGAGTCTCCGAAATATGACGCAAGCAGAGTTTGACGTGTTATTGCAGGACTTTCGGGCGATGCAATCCAACATGCAGACTATGTCTGGCGAGTTGGATCGCCTGAGGGTGGAAAACGCCGAGCTACGCCAGACGCGAGGTGAAGCGCGTCAGGAGTCGCCCGCCGTGGATGAAGCAAGTAGCAGCTTCGCGCCTAACGACGAGGTCCTTAGCGAGCTACAGAACTCGCTGGACGCTGAAGATGAGTGGACGGCACGGATGCAACAAGCACAAGGGACGCAGGAGCAACAGTCACAGCCGCAGCAACAGACACGAGCGGCACCGAGGCAACAGTCGCAGTCTACGCCACGTCAGGCAACAGCGACAACCCCGGTGATGGCTTCAGTGGCGCCCCCGATGCATGCAGCAGCAATAGTCTCAACAACTGTTAAAATAAAGCCGACGAACCCGCCCCCGTTCAACCCCAGCGACAAAACCATCACTGTGTCGGCATGGTTGTTCGGTGTGGAGGTGTTTTTTAATGCTGCGCAAATTGCTGACGATGCTACCCTCATTAATTTTGCAGTGTCACTGTTACGAGGGCCGGCGTTGGAGTGGTGGACGCGGACTCTTCAGACAACGGGGACTCCGGCAGGGATATCACGTGCGAACGATGGGACCTGGACAACTGTCACGCAACAGGCAACTTCAATCTTCGGAGTGGCCACGATACGCACATGGACGGAGTGGGGCGCCGCGCTGCGAACCAGATTCGAGCATATATCTGCCTCGGATTCTGCTCGCATGAAGCTACGCACCTGGAAGCTGTCGGAATCTTGCAACTCTACTCTGCCAAGTCTTGTTTCTACTCCTTCTTTGCCTCTAGTGGGCCCTGCAGCACAGTCTTTCCGAGTGGTGCCCTCCTCTGAGCCTAAGTGATGTCTGTAGTTCTCTGCTACTCCTCCCCTTGTTCCTGTGCCTTCTCTATTTGCCCCCTCCGAGGTTGTCTGCTGGCTCCTGCTGAGTGCCGCTGGAACTTTTAGTCTCCTGTCTGTCTTGCCGCGTCCTCCACGGTCCGCCCTCTTGCTCGCGCCACGTTAGTACAGTGATCCGTTCTCCTCTGCCCTTGTGCCCCCACCAGCACCACTACCCCAGAGTCCTTGATCTCCTTAACCTTCCAGCGCTCCGTACTCAGCCCGATGTCCATGAGGTCGTGTTTCGCCTGCTTCAGGTATACTTCTTCCCTTGCTCCCAAGGTCCTATCCTTCTTCCCCTCTTGCCTTTCTCCTCTCTTCTTGTACGTCAACGCGTCTCTCAGCTGCGCCACGTGTAAGTTTTCTAGTGCTGCTGGTAAAAACTCCCTCAGGTACCTCGCCCTCGCCTCCGCCAGCCCCACCCACTCTTCTTCGTTGGCCACTTGCACGGACCCTGTGAGAATTCTTGGCGCATCCACAGGTAACACGGGGTCTCTCCCTAAGAGTAGGTAATATGGCGAGAGGTCTCGCAACGCCACTTGTTTACTGAATCTGTAGCCTGCCACCACCCACGGGAGCCGTATGTCCCAATCCCTCTTAAATTGCTCCCCGTATGCCCTTAGCCCCCTCTTCACTGTTTGTACGAGGCGCTCTGTGAGTCCGTCGCTCTGCGGGTGATATCTGGAGGTCCTCCTGTGAGTAATCCCCGTGGACTGCAACAGCTTATCGAACTCTCCCATGAACTCTGTCCCTTGGTCGGTTAGCACCTCCCCGCATGCCCCAAATCTAGTAAGCACCTGCTCCTCGAACGCTTCGGCTATCTTAGCCGAGTTCTTGCTGGGGAGGGCCTTCACCTCGACCCATTTGCTGCCATGCTCGATCATGATAAAGATGTAACGCTTCCCCCTTCTACTCAGCGGCATCTCCCCAGCCAGGTCCAGAGACCATCGGAACCCTATGCCATGAATAGGCAGCGACTGCAGCTCCTTCCTCCCTCGCGCCAGTTCCGCTTTGTTCCGACTGCACAGCTCACACTTGGCCACCCACTCTCTGATATCTCTCCGCATCCCTGCCCACCACCATCCTGTCCCCACTAGCAGCGTGGTGCGCAAACTTCCGTAGTGCCCCAGCTGCCGATGAACCCTGCTAATGATTTGTTCCCTCTCCTGTGGCCGTGGGACCAGCTTCCATCCATCCCGGGTGTTCTTCTGCAACTGCTCCTGGTGCCAGCGGTAGTGAATTCCTCGGGCTCGGGCCCTCTCGCTGGTCGTAGTATCCTCACCCGTCCTCCCTTGCACCCAGTCCAGCACTTTCTGGTCTTCCCAGACATCAGCCGGCCCCGTCCTGTTTCCTCGGCTGGCCCCTTCTGTATCTAATTCTCTCGCTAGTGCCACTAGGCATGCCGAGGGGCGATGCATAGGCGGGTTCCGTGACAGCCCATCTACATGTTGCATGGTTTTCCCTGCTCTATGCCGAATGGAGAAATCATATTCCTGTAAGCGCATGGCCCATCGTGCGTTCCTCCTTGTCAGCGCTTGGTTGGTCATCAGCCAAGTCAAGGGTTGGTGATCCGTCACTAGCTCGAATTGCCTCCCTTGTAGGTACACTCGGAAGTGAGTGATAGCCCATACGGCTGCCAGCCCTTTGCCCTCGTACGAGCTGTAGTTAGCCTCGGCGGGGTTACAACTCTGGCTGGCAAAGGCGACTACCTTCTCTTCTCCTTCCCGCTTCTAACACAGGATCGCCCCCATACCCGCGCTACTCCAGTCGGTGTACAACACAAATTGTCAGAATCCCAACCACTAGACCATTGGGATAAAAGGGCTTGCTTCAGTAGCGGGTCAGTGCGCCCATAACCCCCCAGGCGAACGCGCCTGTAACCCTCTCCAGGATCAATCGGGCATCCACAGTGCAGATCTACTGACACCCCCCCACAATGAGAGGCCCAGGACTAAGCACAGCGGCAACGGCCTACATGTGCATACACCGGGAATCGAACCCGAGACCGCTCTGATACCATGTCAGAATCCCAGCCACTAGACCACTGGGATAAAAGGGCTTCTTTCAGT